TCTCTCTCATGCCCGCAGTGAGCGAGTTTTCCAAGCAGACGGGCGACTTCCGCAGCCTCTCCGCCGCCGACATCCAGGTCCTGGCCCTGACGCTGCAGCTGGAGGCCGAGCACGGCGGGGGGCGCCCCCTGCGGACGGAGCCACGGCCTCAGGTACCTCTGGCGCCCACTTTTATGCCGCGCAGCTGCCGGCGAGGAGGGGGCTCGGTGGGGAAGGGGGCCGGGCGCTGCTGCCCTCCACTCAAGACAGCGCCTCTCTCTGCAGGTGCAGCTCAGCTTAACACACCGTCACCCCGAAGCACCGGTTGACGTTCCTGGCTTCCATGTCCCCCCCCAGGTAATTGTGGGGTCAACCACTCCGGTGGGGCAGCTTCCCGCCTGCTCCTGGCCCTGGAAGGAGCAGCGCTGGCTGGCCCTGGTGCTGAAGCCCCAACTGGGAGCCTCAGCAGAATCTCCTTCCTCCCACTAAGCCTTCCCCAAGGCAAGAGGCTGGAAGAAGCAGGGAAAGGGCTGCTGCTTTGCCGGTTCCTGGGCGCAGCCGCTGCCTTGACCGACAGGTGCCCCGGGGAGGCTGAGATTCATTTGGCTTTTCACTTTCAACCCTGAGACAAAATGCCCAGGGAGTGAGAAGATCCCTTTGGTAGCAGAAAGAGATCCGGGAGATCCTGTGGCACTTGCAGAGACTGAGTTTTCTTCTTTCCTGTTCTGGAGGAGCCCTCTGCCTAACATAGAGGAGGACCTGGAAGGCCTGTTGGTAGGCGATCCACTGCCTCCCTTCCCTCACAGCTGGGGCGGCTGCATGACTGGCACGTGGGGGATTTCTTGGCTCGGTAGGCTGGACAGGTACCGAGTGCCAGAGATCCTGCCCAATTGTTCCATCCTGCACAGAAAGCAGACCCTCTTCTGTTGGAGGCGGAGGACCCTGAAGGCCAGGAGAGCGGCGAGGAGGACGGCTGGATCACACCGAGGAACATCGAGCAGATGCAGCAGAGCCCTTGCTGGGGGAGTGAGCCTGCCCAGGTGCAGGTTGGCTGCATCACCACTGACTTTGCTATGCAGGCAAGCAGGCGAGACCAGGCAGCCCGCTGTTCACCCCGGTTGGGCCTGGCCATGCTCTGAGCCCGCCTGACTTGCCTTTTCCCTGTCTCTCCCAGAATGTCCTGCTGCAGATGGGGCTGCATGTGCTGGCATTCAACGGCCTGCTGATCCAGCATGCCCGCAGCTACATCCTGCGTTGCCATGGTTGCTTCAGGTACGTGGTTTGCAAGCGCACAGGCTGCCTGCTGGCTGGGAAGCCACGGGGCATTCATGGGGCTGATGTGCTGCTCTCTAGGACAACGTCAAAGATGACCCGGCTTTTCTGTCCCCACTGTGGGAACAAGACGCTGAAGAAAGTGGCCGTGACAGTGAAAGATGATGGCAGCTTCCACTTACATTTTTCCCAGAACCCCAAAGTCCTGAACCCACGTGGCCTCCGGGTGAGTCTGCCCCATCCGGGTGGTCTGCTTCTGCCTGCTCTTTACTCTCTAGCTTAAGGGCCGCCAGTGCTCCAGCCCGCCTCTCCTCACACACACACCTCCCGCATGAGAAGGGCTGGGCTGGGAGCAGCCAAGCTACCTTAGGCAGCCACTCCCTGCTTCACCTGCCCCAGGCCAGAGAACCAGTTGGGCAGGTCAAGGCTACTCAGGGCCCCTGCAGTCCAAGGAAGGCCATGGCCTCCGGGGTTAACGGCCTGCCGGCCTTGTCTCCACAGCATTCCCTGCCAGCTCCGCAAGGAGGCAAGCACGCCAGTAACCCCCACCTGACAGAGGACCAGCGCTTCCCGCAACAGCGGCTCTCCCGCAAGGCCAGGCAGAAGACCAATGCCTTTGACCCCGACTATGTGGCTGGAGTTTCTCCTTTTGCTGAACACGACATTCACAGCCGGGCAGCCAATCTGCAGATCCGGGATGCGGCGCTGGGTGCAGGCAGGAGGCGCCTGAACCCGAACATGAGTCGCAAGAAGTGCCTGAAAAACAAGTGAGGAAGAGAGGCCAGATTCAGCCCTTTGGCCATGGGTGAAAGGGCTGTTGTGACGCAATCCAGAAAGGGCTGCAGGGAAAGTATCTTTTGGAGAAAGTTGACTTGGACTCTCAAGAAGCAGAGAAGCAGTATTTGCAATAAACCCTGGCTTTTTTTTCAACTCTGGCTGTTTTTTAGATGTGGAGAAAATAAATTTGGCTTTTTTCAAGTGATGCTTGGTGTAGCTGGTGGAAACTTTTCCCTCCGGAGACCCTTCTCTAGTTTTCCCTGTGGTTAGACAGCCCAAACAACAGAGAGGTCCTTCCTTTTCCTTCCTTGTTTTCATCAGCAACCCAGAATGGAGTTGGGTGGCTGGAGGTGGGCCAGTTGTGTGTTACTTTTCTCCCAAGATGCTCCAGCTGTTCAAGACTAAAGTGTAATTCATCTGTCAAACGTGCATCTTGGCTTTCCTAACATTAGCAGATGCCAGCAACCTCCCTTTGGGATTTTGGATTTAAACATGCATAATGATGAAACCATCCTTCTGGGAGGCTCAGCAAATTTGTTTGTCCTACATTCTTTGATTTTATCCCTTGAGAGATCACTTGCAGACTGAAGAAAGGAATTAAAACTTATTCCAGCAGAGTTTCCTGTGAAAAAGAATCTTTTGCAAGATGGCTGTATTTCAGCAGCCACGGGTGATTAAATGCACAGAACCTGGAAGAGACAGTTTGCTTTTCAGAAAATGCTAGTGCCCAGTTCCTGGGTTGGTGCGCTGACCTTTGAACTCTGCAACCCCTTCAGCCCCAAAACCCAAAACTTTACCCACTGCTTTTGTTCTGCCTGGGGTGTCATGTGAGCCCAGGCCCAGAATTTGCAGCAAAACTGGTAAGGCTTTGTGAAGGCCGCTCCATCCTCCTGGGTATCTGCGCTGCTTTGGCTCCTTTCCAAGAACCCACCCTCGCCAGACAAGTCCATCAGAGCTTCTTCCTTGGGCTCTGTGTCTGCAATGAGGAAGGAAGGTGACCTTGAAGGAAACAGGCCAGAAACATTTGGCAGGCAAACATTCTGGCACTAAGGAGGACAGGAGGGAAAGACTCTTGCAGCCCCTCTCCCGAAAGTGTCATTCTGGTCTTCCTGTGGAACTGATTTGGGGCTGAGCAGTGGCTTTCTTGGCCTTGAATTTTTGAACTGAATGCTGCTTCACCAGCTCTAGTCAATTCAGCTGATGTGGCTGTTTATGTTACAATCTTCACCTCTGAAGGAAACGGGTAATTTGTGATTGTAATGGAGCCTGGAGATGATGGTCACAAGTTCTCTCTCTCTCTCTCTCTCTCTCTCTCTCTCTCTCTCTCTCTGTGTGTGTGTGTGTGTGTGTGAGAGAGAGACCAAACTTTGAACCTGGACTATCAGTCTCTTGCAGGCACAACCCAAAAGCTTGGAAGAAGAAACTTTTGGTCCCAGTGACTCACTCAGATTGGACCTTTGTGGTGGGAGGGGGGCTAACATCACTTTGAATAATCACTAGGCTGCTGTGCCCGTTGCTCTGGCCTGTGTTTGAGTCCAAGTTGCAGGGGCCAAAGCCGCCTGCGCCCCCTTTGCCTTCAGCTGACCAGAAGGGCTCTCCCTGCACATTGAGGGGCCCGTTGCACTCTCTACCTTCCCACCTACATGGAAATCTGGCAGCAGAGGCCTCTGCTGTCCTTGAAGCGGCTCCTGCATAACCCGGTTGGGATGTTTCAGTGGGTCCAAGGCTGTGGGGGCCAGTGGGGGGGGTGCGCCCAGAGCAGGGCCATCCTTTAGTTGGCAGGAAGCCACCTGTTTGGGGTGGACAAAGGCCCTCTGGGGCCCGCCTTCTTCTGCTGTGGATACCAGCAGGGTTGCCAGGGGGCCTGTGGTCCAAGGGGCCCCAGGGAGCTGATGCCGCCTCCCTTTCATGCTCCCGGAGCTGCGCCTTCCATCGCAGCTGCTCCTCTGAAGGAGGCAGAGACGGGGGACGGCACCTGGGGGCCGGTGGCAGCGGCATTGCCCTTAGCGGGGAGGGGGCCGGCCGGAGGGCAGGGGGTCTGCCGAAGCGCAGTCTGTCCGGGACGCCGTCCGCACCGCTGAGCGCCCGCGGTCGGCCTGAGAGCGGAGGGCCGGGGAAGAGGCCTCCCAGCCCCCGACGGGAGGTGGAGGGTGGCGCGGTGGGGAGCGCCGCCCCCAAGGCCGGCGATCGAGGCCGAGGCGGGGTCTGCCGGGCCAGCTTCGCCCGCTGGACCTCGACGCGCTGCTCGTCTCCGTCGCCTGCCGCTGCTAGAGGCGCCGCCTCGCTCGCTCGTCCTGCCGCCGCGGTGCCCCCGATCCCGTCCATGGCTGGTAAGTCTCCCTCCCGGCGGGCCCCCTCGCCCAGCCGCCACCCTTCCGGAGCTCCGCCGCACAGGCAGCGCGGGGTCGGGGCCGGCGGGCTCCTGCTCTGCCCGGGCCGCCGCTCCTCTGGCTGCTCGCGGTGGGAGCCGAGCCCGCCAGCGCCTCCTTCCTCCTTCTCTTCTCCCGGCAGCGAGACGGGCGCTGATCGTGCTGGCGCACCAGGAACCGGGCTCCTTCAACCACGCCTTGCATCGGGCGGCCGTCGAGGCGCTGGAGAGCGGCGGCTGGAGCGTGGCCGTCTCGGACCTCTACGCGCAGCGCTTCGAGCCGGTCCTGTCGCGCGCGGACTTCGCCGGTACCGACCCCCGCCCCCCCCGCCCGGCCGCTCTCTTTGGGCAGCGGCGCCTCCGCCGCCTCCTAACCTCCGCCCGCCCCCCGCAGGCGACCCCGACGACCCGCGCAACCTCAACTACGCGAAGGAGGCCGGGCTGGCCTGGAAGGAAGGCCGCCTTAGCAGCGACATCCTGGGCGAGGTGGAGAAGCTGGCAGCCGCCGACCTCGTCATCTTCCAGGTGGGCCCCCGCGCCGGCCGCCCAAGCCCCATCTGGGCCCGGCGTGGCTGCCGCATCTCCCGGCTGACGCTCCGGCGCAGTCGCCGCCTTTGGGGTTGGAGGGGGTCCGAGCCAGGCCAGGCAGAGCTCCGCGACGCCCTGATGGCGCCCGGCGCTGCTTGCTTTCCAGTTTCCTCTGCAGTGGTTCGGCCTCCCAGCCATTCTGAAAGGCTGGTTCGACCGGATCCTCATCCAGGGCTTTGCCTACTCCTACGGCGCTATGTACGACCAGGGGCCCTTCCAGGTAGGCGGCTGCGGCGGAGGGAAGTGCCGCCTGGGCCCACCTGAAGGGAGCCGGGCCACCGGTCCCCACCCGAGACTGAAATGGGGGCCGACAGGCGGGCATCCGCCATGCGAACCCAACTGGCATCAGCTGCTGCCGCTTTCTGGCCACTCCAAAGGGCCCCTCATGCTGGCCCTGAGCCTCAGTGCTGTCTGTGGCTAGGGGGGCCATGGCAGAGCCCCCTCCCCCCTTGGCTGCACTTGGGCCAGTTGGGCAGCAGTGGCGGTGACAGGACCCCGCCTGCCTGCTTTGCTTGCCTGCAGAAGAAGAAGGCCGTGCTGTCCTTCACCACTGGCGGGATGGGCTCCATGTACACCCCAGCGGGCATCAATGGAGACATTAACATCCTGCTCTGGCCAATACAGGTGAGAAAAGACGAGCAGAGGCCCAAGTGAGGATGGGGATGTTGCTTAGTGTCTGGTTGAAATGCCAGCCTCAGGAGTCTCTTGCACTTCCAAAGGCCAGAACACTGTATGTGCAGGTGGTGAAATGCAGTCCAAAGTCCCAGGAGGGAGGGGCTCCTTCCTAAGAGCAAAGAGAATTTCTGGTATGCAGAAAGAGGGCAAAGGTGGCCACCCCAACCCCCAGCATTTCACAGGGTATTATCTATAGTAGTTATGCCGACAGTTGATTTCGTCTCTGGCAAGATTTCTGTTTATAGTCAAATAAACTATTCCAAAGTAACAGAACGGCCTTGCGCTGCCCTTGGCTCTGTGGATCTGGCAAGGTATTCAGGGTATGGGTGGTTCCTCCAAGACAAAATGCCAAGGTTTGCTTGGCTCCAGGCAAGCTTTAAGGCCCTTTTGGTTCTCGCCCATGCAGAGTGGCACCCTTCATTTCTGCGGTTTCCAAGTCTTGGCTCCCCAGATTGCTTTCAGCATTGGCCAGCACACTCCGGAGGATGTCCGCTCCCAGATCCTGGAGGACTGGAAGAGGAGACTGGCAGCCATCTGGGAAGAGAAACCCCTCAGCTTTGCCCCAAACAGCCTTTTTGAGTTGAATTTTGCTAAGGGGTTTGTGCTGAAGAAAGATGTCCAGGAAGAACAGGAAAAGGAGAAATACGGGCTGGCTGTTGGTCAGCACCTGGGGAAGCCATTCCCGCCAGACAGCCAGGTCAAGGCCCGGGAGAAGTAACTGTCCCATTGAGAAGCTCTGTAGGGTTGCAGGGGCCATAAGCCCACTTCTCCCCCTCCCCTAGAAATTAGCAGGTGCAGGGAAAGCTAAGACAATGTCAGATCCTTCAGGCAGGTTTTCTACCCAGCTCTATTCTTTCTCTTGGTGGTGTAATTTGGGGCTTCGGTTGCCTTGAAGGGCTGCCCACCGATGGGATCAAAGCCTGCTAGCATTGCTTCAGCATTCGCGTTGCCTAAAACCTTTTCTCTTTGCATATTTAGGGTGCTAAACTCAGTGCTTGCTTTTTAAATCCCAAGTCCAACTACTGAATCTAATCTGTCTGGTGCTAGGTAGGAAGTGATCGTGGTCCCTCCTTTTCTGTCTGTGAATGTTCTCAGTGAAATAAATAAAAGCCATGAATGTGCACATTGCGCCAATGTTCTGTGGTGAATTTGCCAGACTGTGTGAAAGAATATTATGCACTCCACAATAGCTACAGGTAATCCTCAACTTACAACAGTTCATTTAGTGGCTGTTCAAAGCTACAATGGCACTGAAAAAAGTGAGTTATGGCCACCGTTTTTCACACTTGCAACCATGCAGCATCCCCAGAGTCACGTGATCAAAATTCAGATGTTTGGCAAGTGGCTCATATTTATGACCGTTGCAGTGTCCAGGGATCACGTGATCCCCTTTCTCAACTTTCTGACAAGCAAAGTCAATGGGGAATCTGGATCCACTTAACCACCATGTTACTAACTCAGCAAATGCAACGATGCACAGTTATTGTGGCAAGAAAAGTTGTGAAATGGGGCAAACTCAATTAACAAACATTTCACTTAGCAGCATACACTTTGGGCTCAATTGTAACTCGAGGACTAGCTGCACTGCCGTTTTCCAAATAAGCAGCTTATGTCGAGGCATATCGAGGCAACCTGATTCTCTTTCGCTCATTCTTTCTGTGAGGTCTGTAGTTGTAGGTTGCAGTTGTAGTTGAAGTGGCCACCGGCCTTGCAGAAGAGACATGCTCAACCCAAGAAGCAGAGAAAGTCCCTTTAGTCGGTGTGAGCCACATCCGGTTGCTTGACTCAAGTTTCAGAATGCAGAATTAATAGAGGACCCCAATGCAGAGGTGCGATTAGCACTTTGTATGGCTATTGTGATCACAACTAAAACCTCGGTGCCCAAACTGCAGCTTAGGGCATTCCCATTTCTATTTCAACATATTATGGGTTATCACATTTAGCATTTTTCAGTCTGCATTCCATAAAACAACAAAAAGTTCCATCTCTGTTGGCAGCTGCCATATTGAAAGGCAAACGCAGGCCAATTTCAGAAGATCACCAGGCCTAGCGACTTTAAAGGTCTCCTTCCCCCACCCCACTTTGCCAAGACAGAAATCTGCATTTCTCCCAATGCTGTTCCCAGACAACCTCAACATTTGTTGGGAATACCAAGTGTGCAGCCCAAAGTGGAGAAACTGAGTGCAACAGAAAAAAACAAGGCTCTGGAATGGGTAGGATGTTCGTGCATTGAGCCTCCTCCTGCAGTCTTGGTGTTCTTCAGCTTCTGAGCCTGAGAGGAAGGCACTTCGTAAAACTCAGAGAATTCAAGCTATTAAATGGAAGATGTTGGAAAGAACAACACAACAGATATACACTGTGAAATGAAAACTTTCAAAGTTTTATTCTGGACTGCAGCTGTGTACAGAAATATAGTTGCAAGTATACAAATGTCCCAATAGAAGCAAAATATCTCTTTAATATCCAACAAGTTATCACAGAAGAGCTAAAAAAACAAATGCAAATGAAGTACCCCAGCCCGGCCCCTTCAACAGAATAAATTGAAAATTGGTTATCAGTGCTCTGAGAAACCCACCGACACAAGCCAGAGATACACAAATGCACAATGGGCCAAATCAGGCTACATTCACATTGCAGGATCCAGAAGGGGCTGCTCAACGGCTGCTTGATCTCTGTCCCGCCCAAAGCAAAGCAGGAACGCAGGAAGTAAGAGGAAGGAAAGAAAGAAAGGAGGGGCCCACTGGCAGAAGGCAAAGCCTGGAGCCTCCCTGTTTCCCAGGATCCTCGCAGGTTCCCTTGCAAGGTGACCAACACCTAGGAATTAGGGGCAGAGAGATGTAGGGAGACCACCTCCAGCATTCACAAAGCTTTGGGCTCCAAAGAGACTCCATTCTCCTGGAGCAGGCCTGGCCCTCAAGTTGAGAGAGCCGATTCTGAGCAGCCCAAATGGAATAGCCTAAGCCGGCCGCTGCATCTATGGCAGAGGGGAAGGAAGGACCAGCCTGGTTATTGCTTCAGGACATGCAGGAGTCCAGCTGAAAAGAATCTGATGCTTTGGGAAACCGTCTGCTTGCAATAGCTAAATCGGAAGCTGCTTGCAATGATTGGGGGCCACTCCCGTCTGTGAGTGGCTATTGGGGTTTTTTCGGACTGAGAAACAAGATGTTTTTCTGCGTGTGTGTGTGCACGCACGCATGAGTGTGTTTGAGTCAGTCTTGACTCCTGGCAACTACCTGGACAAGTCCCTGCAGTTTTCTTAGCAAGATTTCCTTAGTGGTTTGTCTCTGCCTTCGCCTGAGGGGGAGTGACCAGCCCAAAGCCATCCAGCTGGCTTTGGACTAAGGTGGAACTGGAGGAACTCACAGTCTCCAGGTTTCTAGCCTGAATCACTACAGCAAATGGCTTCCTAGTTAGATATGATTATGTCTAATGTGAATTGTGTGCTATTTTAAGGTAATAACATAATCAAGTTATGGATTAAGGAAGATTTACTAAGAAAAGCAAAGTTGCAACTCACACAGCTTGGAAGAATTTCTGTGAGAATAACAAATACATTAACTAGAATAGTGTTTTTATTTCAAACAATTCTAGTTTTAAAAAATGCTGGTTAAACAGCAGCAAATAATTGTATCTAGATTTGTGTGGTATGGCAAGAAATCATGGGTTAAATTCAAAATTATGCAGGATGCAAAAAATAGGGAGCATTAGAATTGCTTCACGTTATATTTTGCAGTCTGTTGTTTAATTTGGATGAAAGGATGGGTCTTGTTGAGAAAAAAGGAATGTTTGAAATGGAGGGCCATAATCTGAGGTCTGTTTGCTGTATGCTGTATGTTTTATTGTAGCATAACAATGTGGGTTTTAATTATGTGAAAAATAATGCATTGAGAATATGAAATAAATATGAACACTGGTGGTGCCTGAAAATACCTTTATACACTGACCTTTAGCAAAGAAGCATTCTACATAACACAAGCTGTATATATGAAGAAATAGCTAACATGAGACCTATTCATACATGAGGATGGAGAAATTAAGATGAAGAGAACAGCTGATCTCAGAGGCATATAACTTTCAATGGTTTGGATTAAAAAGTATAATAAAAAGTAAACTTTAAAAAGTAAAAACAGTTAAAAAGTACAGTTAATGTGGATAAAAGACAAGTGAAACTGAAAAATATACATTGGAATTTGAAACTAAATTGTACAGAACTGATGAATATGTAATAGGAAAAATATCTCTGATGATTCTCAGTCATCCAGATCATGGTTGTCCCAAAGATGCTTTTTCAAGAGGCAGCCAGACTTTCTGGTGTCCAGTTGCCTCCTGAAAAAAGCACCTTTGGATGTATAATTTTGGAATCTGAAATGGAATATGAACAAGTTGAAGATTGCATGACAAAACGGTCTATTAATTTTGGATATAACATAGAGATTGATACTGGGAGAAAATCTGGATAATTGGTGTTAAATTTACATTATGTTATAAATCTAAGGGAATTTTTAAATAAAATGTTGTATTATTGGTATATGACACCAGAAAAGTTATCAAAAAAATATAAAAGTATTTCAAAGTAGTGTTAAAAATGTTAAAAACATGAGAGGATATTTTATCATGCATGATGGACTTTGTGAGAAAGCCATTAAAACGTTGGATACAAATTCACACAATGATGCAAAGAATCTTAAAAGATTACTATTTCAAAGAAACTGTAACTCTCTTTATTCAGTCTTATGCAAAGTGAATTCGGAAAAATTCACGGCAGACTGATCTTATAGATGGTAACTGCAGCAAGATTATCATAAGCACAACTATGCAATGGAAGGTTAATGAAATCCCCACAGTGGAGGAATGGATTGTGAAAATGTCAGGATCTGCAGAAATGGCAAAACTGACATATAATATTTAGTTGCAGGAAAAAAAAAATTTTTTTTTGAATGACTGAAAACCTCATGAACTTTTTGCTGAAAAAAGAAATGAAACTACGGCTTATGGGTTTGAAGATTAAGCCAGGCTTGGACTAAATAAGGGACTGAGGGATTATACATTTCATTATATATATCTAAGGAGGGATTATTAAATCAACTGTCTGTTGAAAATTAAATTCTTTTCTTTTTTCCATTTCTTGTACTTTCTTTTTTCTTTCAATTTGCCTTTTATTCTATAGGTAATCCTCAACTTATGACCACAACTGAGACCAGAGTTTCCATTGCTAAGAATGGCCATTGCTAAGTGAATGACACCCGATTTTGCCCCCTTTGCTGCCCTGGTTGCCAGGCCAACCGCACAGTCCTCAACTGAATCGGTGGTCTTTCCCCACCGGCTCTGCTTGTCAGATGATGGCTGGGAGGGTCGCAAACGGCCGTCCCTTGACCCCGGGACACTGCAACTGGCAGCTGTCCACAAGGGCTGGGGTTTTGATCACGTGACCATGGGGAGACGGTGACAGTGAAGTGGGAGGATCAGTGGAAACCCCCTTTTTTCAGTACCCTTGTAACTTTGGTCACAAAAGGAAAGGATGCAAGTCAAGGACTACCTGTATGGGGAAATTCTTTCTATAAACTTCAATAAAGGGGATGTCCTGTATTTTAAGACTACACTTTCTTTGGAACTTTAATCTTCTTCCTGGGGCTTGTAACCATAAAGCCTTACTTAATTCTACCAATGAATCCCCCGATCCCTGCTTTAGCTAGGGAGTTGGACATCAAAGGCAGGGACCATCTCCTTCCTCCCCCCAATAGCCTTCTCGTTCTTCAGTGTCCCTCACATTCCTTGTGCCGGTGCCCTGAAAAAAGTGCAGCCTTTGGGCAGGAAGGCAGCCAGGTGAAGGGCCTGCCAAGGGAAGCTCTGCTTACTCCGTTCCCTTTGCCCACGGAAAGCAGGAGCAAAGATGAAGGACCAGCCTCTGCCAGCTATTGAGCAGCCCCTTTGCTCCAAAAAGATACATTTGATAACCAAATCACATCTTCAAAATGTTGCACATTTAAATATTGACCTAAACTGGACCAAGGAAAAGTAAAAACCGACCAAGAAAGTATCAATTTCACCATTTTGCACAAGCAGCAGATGCCGAAGTTACAAGAAGTGGCAAGGAGGATCAGCAGCTCCCTGGGCAGAACCTCGGTTCAGGGAAGGATTGGTCCCGGGTGTCTCAGCATTGGCCCCAAGCAGCTCACCAGGCTGCCCCTGCTCATACCCCCACCCCCACCCCCGGCACCCTTCAGACAGGACAAGGAGCTGACCTCAGACTGTGACCCCCCCACCCCCCACCCAAAAAAAGGCAAACTGGCTTGGGGACTTTGGGGCTCTCCTTACCACCTCCCCAAAATTCCCTCAGCATGTGTGCATCTCTTTCTCAGCATCAGAATTGGGTTCAAGGAATTGATAGGATTTACAAAAGAGGGAAAGCAGAAGGTATTAGTGTTATAAATTAAAAAGCCCGCAAAAATGTTAGACATTAACAGAGAATAAAAGCGGAATCAAATCCCAGCTTTTAAGAAGTCACCCTGAGGGACTCCCCTGCGAAGTCCCCCCGCAGCAGGAGCTCCGTCCCTCAGGCATGAAGCTGCCTTCGTGGAAGGGCCAGAGACAAAGAAGAAACGCCTGCCACAAAAAGTACAGAAACACTCCATGAAGATTTAACAAACCTGTCCCTTTTCCCCCATAACCAGACACCAGGTGGTGGGAGAAGAGACTATAAGCTCACACACATGCCACAAAAATCTGTGGCAAGAAGAACATATTTGTGTGAACATATGTGTTTTCTTTTTAATATATATATATATATATATATGCGCCAATGTACTCATCTAGTACAAATAGCAAAGTAGTTTATCATTTACTAAGTACAAAATAGAGCTTTCCAAAAAATGAAACACACATTAGATATAAACCATTCAAAACTTGAACGACTGAAAACTGTATTCAAAATTAAATGACCTTGAGTTAGGTCTCTTTCTGAAAAGTTCCCTTCATATTGGCCAAAGAGCCTGTACTCCTGAAAACGTCGTAACCCCAAACTCCTTGGGACAGAACACACGGACCACTAACTGAAGAAGAGACGGACTGGCACAGCATGAGTAAGAAGCCAAGCGCCCCCCCCCCCCCCCCCCCCCCCCCGCCAGGGGCGCACGAGGGAGACAAGGGACACCCTTCCCAACACAGAAGACAAGCAGCCGAGACGTCCCCCCAGCAGCCCTGGAGCTCCGCAAGAGCTGCCCAGGGACCCTCTGGAGTGGCAGAGGCTGCACGCAGGGGTGGATGCGCAAGAGATGCGGGGGCGGCTGCAGGAGGTGAACCCCAGGAGAGTCTGCTAGGACCGCGCTGGCCTTCTATCCAACGCCTGTGGCAGGAGCCAAGCTGCTCCCGTGCCTTGGAGTTCAAAGGGGAGCTTAGAGAAGGCCCCGTGTCCCCAACAATAGCAATGGTGTCAAAAGCAACCTAAACTCTACTCTTCCTTCCCTAAATCTTGCTGTGCATTCATCACAAAACATTTTTTTCTGCTTTTCTGGTCCTCCGAAATATTAATTCTGTACATGGCAGAATATTTAAATAGGAGGGTGGGAAACTCCAGTGAGGAGCTTTAAGAAGAGCCAGCCACCGTTTGATCACAGCAGACTCCCAAAAGAGCCCGGTTCCCTCGAGCAGCAACTGGTTCTTCTGAGAAGGGGGAAGAGCGGAGCACTTGCGCCCAGCTCTCAGCAAGCCACAGCCCTGATCCGAGGCTGTCCTCTCCACAAGGCCCCCCTGGCGCCCCTCAAACCTCTCCCACCACTCGGATGGGACACCAGCTGCTGCTTCTGAGCCCAATCCAGGTGTGCTCATTCATCACCCGACACGTGCAGCATCGAGCCATGATCCTGGGTGGGATTCACAGCGTACACAGAAGACTTCTGCCAGGCAGCTCGAGCCACTTTTTCCAATGGAAACCATTCCCATACGTAGCCACAAATCATGGGAAGCCATCAAATGATTGAGGACACAGGAAATGCGCCCGAAGAATCGTAAAAACCAGAAAAAGAACGGGAGAGGGAGAGAGCGAGCCCAGCGTTCTTGCCTTTTGCTGACAGGTGACAGCCACACTCCGCATCCCCCACAGAACTGGGGATGGGGATAACAGTCCAGCCCACGCCTGGCTAACCCAAAACCTGGCTTTGCCCCCCACTTCAGCAGAACTTCCAGGGTGGTGTTGCTTTAGGCCATCTTTCAACAGGGAAGAGTTAACTCCAGAATCACCAGAGCTAATGCAGTCTGTCCAGTGCACGATTTCTGAATGAAAGGAAGAAAACAAAAAGACATTTATAAACAAGACAAAGACCCTCCCTCCCTCCCTCCCTCCCTCCCGTTCAGCAGCCTTCAGCAACGGGGTTTTCTCCATGGAAAGATATTCAGTGAAAGGCTGTCATCAGATTAAAAGTGGGTACAACCCTCTCAAGGGCTCATGTTGAAGCCCCTCCATTCTTCTCTAGGCTGACTGCTTTCACAGGCTCCTGTCTGGAAGTCCAGGAGGAGGTAAACGGGACTAGCCACCAGCAGCCTCCCAAGAGCTGCTTCTACCTGCTCTGGCTCTGGTGCCAGCTGGGCAGGTCCTGCTACCCTGGGATGAGGGAGATAGTAGCCGGTGATTCAATCTGGGATTCTTGGGAGACTGTAGAGCAAAGCTGTGAGGTCGGCTACCTATAGATTAGAGTCGTGATCCTCCTGGCTAAGCAGTCTAGATTGATTGATTGATTTGTAAAATGTCTTAGCCGCCCATCTTACCACAAGGCAACTCTGGGCGGCTTACAATAGGAACAGATAAAACTATATAAAACTTAATGATATAAATACAATACTATAAAAATAATAACCTAGCTGTAAGATGGAGAGGTATGAGGAAGAGGTGGGAGCTCTCGCTTAACCTATTCACCCCCCCCCTCAACATTGAAGACCCCCTTTGGAACCCCATGCCAAAAGTCAGGAGGGTTGGTGCCAAGCTCATCTTGGCGGGCAAGACGTTCCAAAGGGCAGGCTCTTCTCCTGGACCCCAATAGCCAGAATACCTGGCCGGTGGGCCCAGCGCATGCCTCCTCTGCCGGCACAGGTGGGGCGGCCAAGCCCACTGGGATGAGACGGTCCTTCCAGTAGCCTAAATTCAAGCAGCAATCATGGCTTCTCTGTGGCTTTGAAAGTGGCAGCAATGTGCCCCTCCTGAAGAAGCATTTTGGGGGAAAGGCTGCAAGGGCTGCAAAGGACAGGGGGGAGGAACTGAATCAACGACCAAAGAGGACACAGTTTATCGGGATCCCTTTCACCCTGGATTGGAGCCTAATTCAAAGATGGAATAGGCATTTGCAGCCAGCCCCCTCCCCCCCCCGCCCCCGATTCAAGAATTAGGCCGGTGCTCAAACAGCTTGCAAGATGGACGCTAATCCCATCTCCTGTCCAGGCAAACAATGGTTGCGCAGAGAATGCTACAAGCTCTCCAATTTCATTAACCAAAGGAAAAACTTCTGCAGCTCAAGAAAAGGTCCTGGCTTACCTCACTTGTTAGAAGGAGCCAGCCATGGTATTGTTCCCCTGATTTTGTAGGGATACAAGCAAGTCATCAATCTTCTTTATATTCTGATCGGTGGTCAGCGCAGAAGAAATCTGAGGACTCTCTGACATTTGCTGGGACAGGAGAGCCGTGACGGACGGCTGTGCCTCATTCTGTGCTTGGCTGAGGGTCATCATCTGCTCTGATACGGAACCTGGTCCAGATGTTAACAGCTGCCCACAACCTGCTGAAGAAACAACACATCCAGATCAAGACTGATGACCAACATGGTCTTCCAAGCATCACCCAGAGCCAAGTGCAAACTTGCTGAGCAGGGAGAACAAAGCAGAATCATGAATTTGAATGCCAGTTTCAACCCAAGTAGTTACAACGCCCATAAAACCCCACAGCAGTTTGATCTGAATTTGGTATGTGAAACAGAAGACCAACATTTAGAGCAGACCAGCAAGGAAAACCTGGTGCTCTCTACACTCAGACTTACTGTCTTGGATGCCAAAGAGGAACATCCCAGAGGTCTGTGGGGATGAGGTGGAGGAGTTCTGCAGCTGGTTGATGGAGCTTCCAGCAGATACACTGTGGAACAAAGAGGCTGCCTGCTGCTGCTGCTGCTGCTGGGGGGGCGACGGAGAGTCCTGGATATTTGGCAGGTTGCTCTGTGGGGAGTACAGGGGGGGTTGCTGCAACTCCTGCTGGCTCATGTTACTCTGCAAGGCAGACATGGAAGCCGATGATATGAAGAGGGTGACTGGCTGCTCCTGAGGGCTGGGGGATCCCTGGACCAGCTGGATCTGGGGGGAGCCATGGAATAAGCTTGGGGGTGGCTGTGGTGGCTCAGCTTGAGTGGAGCCTGAACTCTGGCTCTGGAACTGCATGGGCTGCTGCTCTTGGCTCCTCTGGGGGTGGAAGAGAGGCTGGCTCTGCTGCTGCTCCTGGCTGGTCATCGTGCTGGGACTGGAGCTGAACAGCAGCGTTGGCTTCTGAGAGGCCACAGACCCCAAGGCGTTCTGACTGCTGAACTGCATATTTTGCTGCTGCTGCTGCTGCTGCTGCTGCTGCTGCTGCTGCTGCTGTTCTTGGGTGGAGGCACTATTTTGAAGAGCCACAAGTGAATGCTGAGCTTGGAAAATGCCCCCCTGTTGGTTGGGAGGCACCCCAGAGGGAGGGAGGGGGCCCAGAGTTACTTGGGCCTGGAAGAGGCCCTGATGTGTCGACTGGTGCTGCTCCTGGGTGAGCAGAGGGCCTTGGAGGTGGGGCTGCTGGAAGGAGGGTTGCTGTTCAGTCCTGGCCGGGCCTTGCAAGGGAGAAAGAGAGCTCTGGGTAGCGAAGAAGGGCATCTGCTCCTCCTGCACAACGGAGGAGCCCAAAGCATTCTGGGAGAGAAACAGGCTGCCCGCCTGCTGGTCCGGAACAACTCCTAGGCTGCCCTGGGAGTGAAACATGGGCTGCTGCTGCTGCAGCTGCTCAGAAGAAGCGGCTGAATTCTGGCTGTGGAACAGAGAACTGGGGGCCTCCTGAGAGATGCTCTGGGTGTCCCCAATGGGGCTCTGAGAGTGGAACAGCTGAGGCTGGGAGTGGGCAGCCGGGGGCAAGAAAGGGCCCGCCTGGAGAGAGAGCATCTCCCCACTCTGCTGGAAGAGTCCCTGCTGCTGGGCTGCGGTGCCTTGGACGGCAGCTATCATGTCCTCCGAGGAAGGGAAGAGAGCAACCTGGGCCTGGCTGTCCCCACCGTGTTGCATTTGGACCATCGCCTGAAAGACAGTGCTCTGCATCTGCTTGGCTTGTCCTGAAGCTTCTTTGCTGTCCACAGAGCCCGAAGCAGGGAACATGGCAGGGCTGCCGGTGGGCACCTGCTCCTGCTGCTGCTGCTGCTGTTGCTGCTGCTGCTGCCCTGTAGCACCCGTATCGTTGCTTGAGACACTGCTGGGAGAGAACAGCTCACACTGCATTTGCATGTCTTCACTTGCCGACAGCCCACCTATCAAATGGGAAGCTGGCGGGTACACTGGGGACTGCTGGATGCTTCCATTTCCTGAGGAGGAGGAGGAGGAGGAGGAGGAGGAGGAAGAGGAGGCGAACAAGTCGGAGGGCATGTGGCTGGGGGCCTGGCAAAGGCCTTGCTGCATGTCAATCACCATGGCAGCAGACGTCTCCATCGCTTGTGCCTGCTGCTGTCCAGCCATCGAAGTCTCCGGCTGTGGGCACAGGGTCTCGGTTCGGCTGGGGAGAAGGTCTTCTGCCCTTGAGTGAATGGAGTCCGAGGAAGAAAACATGCCCTGGTTGACGCCATTCTGGATCTGGCTCACCTGCTGGAAAAGGTCTACATTGAGCTGCTCTTGGACCTCCTCACTCCCCTCGGAGCCTGAAAAGAGGACAGAGGACAGCTGCTGCTGAGCTTCCAGGACTTGCTGGACCAGGTCCATGTTTCTGTTGCTGCTGCCGCCGCCGCCGGGGCTGGACTGAAAACTCCCTGCCTGCAGCTGCTGGATTGTGCTCTGAAGCTGGCTCACCCCGCCGGCCGAGGAGAACATGCTTGAGGAGATCTGCTGCTGCAGGGCCTGGCTGGACTCCTGAAGGCAAGGGGGCTGCTGGGGGGTGTCCGTTAGCTGGGACAAAGCCATGGCTGTGTTGTCTGACTGCAAAGCCTCTCTGGAGGACGGCTCCCTCAAGGAGAACTGGGAGGCCTGCTGCAGGAGGGTGTCGCTGTTCTGCAGCTGGCTGGGAGCAGAGGCGGCTGGGAAGCTGCCAGGCTGCACCAGGTCTGGAACCTGAAGGGAAGGCCTGGCCTCAGGAGGATACTTGGGTGGCAGGGGCTGCTTTTCACTCTCTGGAGCTAAATGAGAAGCAGGAGGGGAGAAAGTGCCATTCCCCAAGAGGCTGGATACGGTGGTCTCCAGAGTGGTCTGAGATGGCCCAATGGCGCTGGTTGTCTGAAGGGAAACAGGCACACACAGCAGTAAGATTTAGAATTTTCACTTTTCTCTGCCTGACCATAATTCAGGAAGGAAAAATAAACTATCTTGAATTCTACATTATATACTTTCCACTGAAAATTTTACCAATTTTTAGAAATTCATTCCTTACACCATTAATTTGCATTGTTATGAAGAAGGAGGGTATGTATTATAGATTATAATAATGTATTAAAACTACAGTCAGAAGACATAAAGCTTCCCCCCGCCCGGTGATTTTGCTAGAATGCCAACAGTTCTTCTGGTAGGCAAAACTGTGTAATAGTTTTTTCTGAGTTTTTCTATGCACTTCAGTTTTAAAAGGATGGTATATTATTTACAAGCAAGGGAAAAAACTATTTTCATTTCAGTTAAACTCCGTCAGTCTATTGGAAAAAGTGAAAGAAACATTTGTAGTCCTACCAAAGCTGTCACATTAGATGTCAAACAAATGTCCTGAATAAAATCCTGATAATTTTCTTCTTCTCTTTAAAAGACATATGCCCAGAATCAGTTTTGAACTGCTGCTTACATTAAAGGCAGGAAGAGACCTTTTCTCGGCCACAAGTTCCATTGGCGCAGCCTCTTCATTCTTAACGATACTGTTTGGCCCGAGAGGAGGTACCAAGGCACTGGGGAGAAGATTGACTTGGTCCAGCTTGCAGCCACTGGAGTTCGCTGCAGGAGACAAAGAGCAGAATTCACTCCCTAAGTCAGCCCCAGGAGGATGACACTCAAAATTACAGCATCTAATAGAGAGAAGAGAACCTGATAACCTTTCCTGGCAAGTCCTGGCTGTGCACTCTGCAGTAAGAGACACCTCTGAGGGCCAAGGTCGACCCAAATGGCTGCTACACAAACACCCAGGGCATCCCGAGGACTGACACAGCACAAACACCTTAGCCTGCTTGATAAACCACATCATCTCTGGCGTACTAAAGCTTGCTTGTTTATTACATTTATATCTCACCACAGTGAAAATCATTCTCAGAGTTAAGCATATTAGAGGTTTGCAAGACTTTGTAGTGAATTTTTGGAAGTTTGCCGGGAAACAGACCAAAGGAGAAATAATACATTAACAGAAAACATCTGTAGCCCTAAAATTCCCAAATAAGCCACTCAATTGTGATGGCCATTTTTCAATGTGATGTCCTCAGCAGTTTTACGAAGTCTTCAGCTAAGGTGATAAGACAGGCTGCGGCTGAGAATTACCTTTGGCTGCATCAACAAAAGAGCAGGGCTGGGTTGGGCTGGATATTTCCTGCTTCACATTCACATTCAGAGTCTGAGCTGCTGATGAAGAAACAAAATGTTCAGGAGAGATGTAAGCAAGGAAATTATGTCAAGCTTCCCACTTTCTCAGATCAGCAATAAGCACAAGTTACACATTTCAAGAACCAAAGGCCAATGATTGAAACATTCAGCATAGCTCCCTGAAATCTGTGGTAGTTGCACTAAGTCCCTTTCTCAAACTGCAAGAGCTGCCTAGGATTTCCTAAGGCCAATGATTCGTGTTCCCTAAGAAGTTCCCTAGCCAAGCAATGCAAACTTCAACCAAGACCCCACACCGTGCAAATATTGTGCTTTTTACATACGTGTATCTGGAGTGTATGTAAATTGTTGTATGTCATGTGATCTCCCAGCATTGGTCATGACAAAAATCCCAACAGAAACAGGTGTAGTTATTTGCTGGTCATGATAAGGTGGCACCTTCACAATTAGATGATTCTGAAAGGGAAAAAAAAAAGTATCAATGGCCTCCAGTCTGTGATATTTGACGTAAGAAAGTCTAGAGGTTTATCAATAAGGGCCAGCTGTTCCTGTTCCTAGCTCTGCTTCATTTCAGAAATCTGGCTTACAAACAAAAACTTGCTAGAATTTATCAAAGGGGGGAAACGGGGGGAAAGGTGGAGGACTAAAACAAACTCTGCTACCTCTACTGAGCTCTTAAAGGCAAGTAAGTACATTGGCACTTAATCACACAAACTCTGAACATGAAGAACTCTGACTTTCCAAGCTGAGCAAAACTTCCACCAAAGAGTCCCAATCCTAACAACCATGAAGGAGGAGGAATGGTGGCTCCCTGTCCAAGACCTGCCCTGTTCTTTGGACTCAGAAAACTACCAGTTTGCGAACAGCTATTTCTGTGAGGACATCAGAGCCCAATCCCTCTCTTCCACCAAAGAAGAGGATTTCATTTAGGTATGACTTGAGGTTCAGACATATAGCTTTATAGTTGTGTTGTTCCCTAGAGGAGCGGTCGCCAACCGGTGGGCCGCGGAAAAATTTTGGTGGGCCGCAGAACAAATGGCCCCCGAAAGCAATTAATCTGGGCCGCGCAGTTCTCTCGCCTCCCGGCTCTTCAAGGGACCCCCGTCAGGTCCCTGAGGTGCACGCGCCAACCAGCTCCCACACACGGTGGTGGCAACAACAATCCCCACCCCGAGCCCACTGTTAGCTCTCCCCATTAGTTCTCTAGCTTTGAATTGCTCCCACCTCTCTTCCCGCCCCCCCCGTGCCCATACTTTTTCCTCCAATTCTGTTTGCCTTAAAGATCTGAACTCAGATTATTGCTCTCACCATAGTCTTAATTTACATTCAGCCGTGAAGCTTCCACAGATTTCAGAAAATGTATCCGAAAATGCATGTGCATGCCTATCTGAACCTCACTTTCAAATGTATCATAAAATGGGATCATTTGAATAGTAATGCCTACAATAATATTCTCAAGATCAAATGGATAATTACATCCCTGAGGAAGCAAGTACCTGATGAAACAGCTCCATGTCAATTTCTGCCTCGGCTTTCCAGGAGCTTTCATCTGTTTGAAAGCAAGGTAGGGAAGTTGTTATCCAAAGGCACCAGTCAGCTGTCGAGGGAGTCACAGCTCTCAAGGTGGCCGTCCCAGTCCCCCTGCAGCTTCCTTTGCCCAACCTCGGCAAATACACCTTGCTACCCACCAGAGATGTTCTCTTGGAAGATCACTTTGGTTCCCTTCAGAAAATTCTTCCCAATCAAAAAGACCTCCTCTTCTCCTTTAACTGAACAGCTATGCAGGCTTTTCTTGAGGATCTCCGGCACACCTGCAGGTTGAGCTACGCCAAGAAAAAAAGGCGATTTAACTGAAAATATCCACACACAATCAGCTATAACCCCAAGGCATCTAACAGCCTATATGTGGAAAGGACAAATGCTGTGAAAAGCTTAAGCAAGTCAGATCCAAAAAGTAAGACCCCTTTTCCTTTTGCAGGGGAAAGTACAGCAGTTTCCTCCCCTGGGAACTCATGGCCAGCCATCGCCATTCTCGGAATGGCACACACTTATGAGCTGAGGTCCTAATGTAATATCCAAATTCTTTCTGTCCATGTTTTATTCTTCATGTCACTAAAATAGATTATTTTATGCAGATTCTCCTAAGTTCTGTTTCTGTAAATATTAAAAATGGTTTATGGTTTATGTTTTAGTAAAGTTTAATCCTCTGTAGATAAGCAGGATAGCTCAACTAATAGGGGGCCTTTTGGTCATTAGGGGCTTTGCCACTTACTGCACAGAATGGGCGAGGACGGAGTCTGCAGCGTTAGAACAGATCCATCTTTCCGAGGGATGCTGACACGGAAAACCAGTCTGGCTCGGGTGCTTTTTTTCTTAGAACCAGCAATGCCTATTCGGGCTTCGACGTCTGCATTCCTCAACTTCAGAATTCCAACACAGTCCACCCTAGCAACATAGGATTAATTTTTGCATTATTTTAGGCCTGCCAGTGCATAGGAAGTGGCAAGCTTTTTAAGAGATGCAGTGACAACAGAAGCAACCACCAAATCATCACATTTCAATGCCCTGTAGCTGTGGTGGTAAGAGCGCTGAGCTGTCCAGAGGATCAAGCATTCAACTTCACTTTGGAAAACAGGATACTCTGTTACATGGACCTTCACTAGATATTGTTGGGTAATTCCTTTTCCCACCAATAAAAGGTGACAATAGAACAGATGCTTTAGGACGGCGATCCCCAACCTTTTGGGCAGCAGGGACCAGTTCCATGTAGAGTTTTTTTTATGCGGACCGGAAGGGGTGTGGTTTTGCATGCTGCCTGCATCTCACGGATGCTCCAACTCAGTAAGTTTTTAAGAAGAGATTGGACAAGGACTGATTTGAAATGGTATAGCGTTTCCTGCTTGAGCAGGGGGTTGGACTAGAAGACCTCCAAGGTCCCTTCCAACTCTCTTATTCTGTATTCTGTTTCCATCCAGAATCTAAGAGCCTCTCTCCCATCTTTTCAAGCAACACTTAATCCTCTGTCTGCAGATATATTTAAACATAGAAATAGACAATATTCCAAAACAAAGAAACAGAAATGGCATTACTGATTCACTTCAGGGTACAGATCTGATTTTACTGGGGGGAATTATGTCAACTGGCTGAATGTTCATCAATGGGCCAACCAATCACCATTATGAAACTATTTGCTTCTCCCTCTTGTGAGAACGAACAATTTATACATACTGTAAATACACTGCAGCATTGGAAAACAGGCTTTCCTCAAACAAGTTTTACATTCCCCAAATGAAGGAGAATTTAGGACCCAGTTAAATCCATCATTCCAGGGAAAACAAAGCATTTATTTCACTCAGTGTAAGATGTCAAACGGGACCAACTTACAAAGAGAGACTTGTAGTATTCCAGGTGACAGACACTATGCATGGGAGTGTGGAGCTCACTGAGGGACTTCCAAAGAGCGGCTTTTCTCAGAGCCAGCACTAAGCCTGCCTCTCCCCTTCTCTGTTGTGTTCAGAGAGGCCCTGAGTGAAGGGCTTGTGTGGAAAAGCAGAGACACACTCTCCTGTGAAGTTCAAGCAGTTTCAGAAGAGATCATGGGAAGGCATTTTTTTGTCAAGAGCACAAAATATAATACAAACAGATTACCCAAAGTGTGTGTGTGTGTCTGTGTGTGTATGTGTGTGTAATAATCAGAAGAGTTGTTCACTTTTGCTGATAAAGAAGTGGAAAGCTGTCAGTCATAACCGGAACACCAAGGAAGCTGCTACAGGTTGATGACCAGAGACCATAAGCTTTCCTTCCGGTTCACATCACAGCCTGAGAGGGGAGAGAAAGCCTCCCAAAGAACCTCCATACTTCCCTTTACTACAAATAAATGTAGTTTTAGCCAAAAATGGGTCTAACGCCACCCAGAGTCCTACTGTTTGTGTTGGGAAGGGGGGCTTGTAAACCTTATTAGTACATAAATAAGAATCCCAATGTCAGATTTCCTCTCGTGAAGACATTCTTAGCCCTGAAAGTGTTCCCAGAGACGAGCGGGGCAGGATGGAAATCTGCCGAGAGTAACACTCACGCCAGGGTCATGCTGTTACTTGGGTCCAGGCTCACTTCGATGACAGTTGTGCCCTCGATGTCCACCTCTTTGCAGGGCGTGGTGTTCCGGCCTGTGACCCTGCAGGCTTGATAGAATCCATGGGGCTTCACCCGGCCAGAGTCATTACCCACAAATATCTGTAACGTCACTGGATCGTTGTGACCTTCCACCTGGAATCACAAACCAAGAGTTAATGGACCACATGAAGCACTATTAATCCGCCAACAATGCACACGCCAACTTTGAATAGCGAACACTGACTGGTACTAACAGTCTTCCTCTACTGAGTAAAACAGATGAATTCTTTGGATTTTAAACATTTTGATATTTTTAGGTATATTCTATCAATCCCTCAAGTTGATTTTATTGTATTCATATTTTGAGCATATATATATAAATGTTCTTTCTGAAAAGGAAGCATTTTCAAAAGTCTGTTTTGGACAGGGTTGACTTTTTATATATTATACTCTTGTAGAAAAATGTTTATGATGAAATCAGAAACCATTTCAGAATTTAATGCTATTCTTTAGAAACTGTATATATCCAGGGGACATTAGTGTGCAGTTAAATGAAACACATTTTCATTTTTCAGAGATAAAACTACTAGATAACTAATGTGTTTAAGTGTTTACTTTTCAGTCAATTACTCCAGGGTTCCAGTGCACTTTCTGCTCTATTGTTTATGCAAAGTCAATGAATATTTTGAACCAATTTATATACACAAAACAAGGGTCATCACATTTTTTTCATCCATATTTGCAATATTCTCTAGGAGACTGAAGCGAAACACCAGTGACAGCACCCTCTTTCATTCAGGGGAGGCCGCAGCACAGATGGTGCTCTGTGCATTTATTTAAACATGAAGAGCCAAGAGTAGCCCCTGCTCTATATTTACACTCCTTCCATCCAGCTAGAAAGGCTTCCCTGTCTTAAACCAAAAAAACATCCAGTCCTTTGCCGGGAACAACAACATAAGCACAAACCTGAGGATTGGAGGGGCTGTTCTAGTGACAACCTTCATCCTGAGAAACCTGACTAGCCCACTGTCAGAAACTCCAGTAAGGTCAGGGAGAAGGGAGGCTCTCAGGCCTTCCAGCCACTCCCTCCCTCCCTCCCCGCTTCTGGCATACCTTGACCGTGGGGAATCCCTGCTGGGTTCTGTCTTTCACGGAGCCTCGGCTGCCCTCGGTGAGGTAGCGAGCTCTGTGTTGAGTCTCCGGCTGTACCAGGATCTTCAGCTCTTTGCCTTCACTTTTACTCAGGTACTGACCACACAACATAGGGCTCTTCTTCCCTCCAGTCGCCTTGGGGACTTCTGGGGTTCTGAGATATTAAAGCAGATTAGTAAACAGGTTACCAAAGGCTAATCCTTCCAAACAAGCGAAATGGCCGGCGAAACCAGGAGGCCCAGAGACATACATGCAGACCTGCATCATTTCTCTACTTCCCTTTCACAAAAATCTCATTTTGTTGTTCGTGTCTGCCTGATACCTTTGGTCTGGTGGGCATCCAAAATACAAGAAAATGGTGTTTCTATTTCTGTTCCAGAGACAACCAGTACTGGGTGAGATATGTTACAAAACATGTGTGCAATGTGTTAAAGCTCTCCTAGCTAATCTTTCATGAATAATATGTGTATTATGAAGTAAATTATGTTTTACAAATCAACTTCCAGCCTTCAAGCAGAGCATACAATATTGTTGAACTTGAAATTCTGCCTTATTTTATTTTACTACAGGCTATATAGTAGCAGTTGCACAGGATTCTAATTTCTATTGTCTAAAATTATTAGACAATAATTGCATTTTGAAAACAACAAATTTTCCCATCTTATAAGAATATATGCAAATATGTAAGAGCAGCCTAGAGAATACAGGCACCACCTTTTCCATTGGCTTTTATTGCTTCAGAAGTGGGGAACAAATTCCTGCCATCCTTCTTTAGAGAACATAGCTATGCATTATTCAAAATCTGACCTCCAGAAGGCCTTGCTGTACAAAAAGCCCCCAACCTCTCGATGCCTCCAGCCAGGGTTCAGGGACCTGTCATCTGAAGTAGGAACTCTGACCCACAATAGAAGCCCAAATGCATGAAAAAAGCATTCTTTGGAGCTCAACATCAGGGCTCCATCAGCCAAAATAGGACATCTGCTTTATATAATTCTATTGCACAATTTTGCTTTCTGAGGTAATTATATTGATAAATTGATCATGATTATGAACTTATCCCCATCTCTGCAATCAGCCCCCCAAATTAGGTTTCATTTATCACAGATTTAATATGCACCACACACACTCTTGATACCAGGATTCATTCTGCTGCTTGGACCACAAAACTCACTAGATAATCCTTGAAAAAAGCATCAATTCCTAATTCTCCTAGTCAAGGGGCACTTGGAAAACACTAGGGCTGTGCAACACTTCGAATCCAAGTGGCAGACATGATTTGGAGTGTGCACCAGGATGCAGTCCTGGGGAAAGGCACATTTAAAGCAATTAGTGCACACCCAACTACATTTCCTCTTTCAACTATGGAAGAGATGCACAACTTGACACAGTATAAAGCAACCTCTGAATCTCTATGATAGGAAGGTATTTTGTTTTAATTAAATATTCTAGTAGTTATTTAGCAGCTGAAGTGCATTCAGTTCTGGAAAAAATTAAACAACACTGACTTCTTGTACAAAAATAGTCAGCAGCATGAATTCAATGGGCTGATTTCTAAGTCGACATTCATAGGACTAAAGTGTTCATTTTCTGATTATGAACTTACTTCTTGAAGAATCATCCCTTCTAATAGCCTCTTTTAATATCATCTGAAGACTTTTGATAATGTGGATATCTGCAGAACAGCAATTTTCATTTTAATGTTGTCCTTGTATGGCTTTTATAATTTTTATGTGAGGAGAACAGGTCATATAAGACTATGGGCCACATTGTATAATAAGGTATAATAATCATATCCTGGAAGGTTATTTAATGGCAAGCCTCACTCTGGAGTCTCTTATGATCTACCTCCTCCAAGTGGTATTTCTAGTATTGGACAACAGAGAAGGCAAAGCAAGATGGCTTTTTCTTTACATGGCAAAACTTTCTTCCCCGTAATTTAATATTTTCTGACTCAAGGATAACATAAAATAGCCTTTTCTGTAAGAAACAAGAGAAGTCCTTCAGAGGAGGCAAGAAACTCAAAAGCATGACGTTCTGTCCATTTGCATGCAGTAAGCCAGAGTGGTAAAAATTCTGACTCACAAGGAACTATCTACCAACCATGACCCAACTGTTCCTATTGCCATCGACACAGATAACAAACCCTGACCATCCAGCCAGTGTTTTGCCTCTTCTTAAATATAAATCTATGCTTGTCCACCTTGTTAAAATTCAAAGGAAGAAGACATTATTTGTCCTACGCATGTAACATTGGCTTGCAAAGGATCGAGCAGGCTAGATTCCTGGATCACACATAAATTATAACCAGAGCTTTCCACATTTATTGGCTGACATGAGGCATCAAACAAAATGGCGCCCCAAGGTATGGCCTGTTCCCAGGAAAATTAGAATTCTTTAAGTTTCTAGGCAATGCAATCGGTTGCAGTAGGGTGGAGGGTTGCTGATTTCTCAGGCAAATGCATCTCATATTGCCCCATGGCCAACACTGAGGATCTTGTGATCCTCTGAATTCCAAAGGAAGGTGAGGACTGCCATTGGGTAAAAAAAAACAACCAGTAATTTCCTTCCATAATGCACCTGTGCACTTTCCACTCTTGAAGTGGGATGCAAACCAGAGTTCCTAAATCAAGATGCAATTAAACTAAGAGAAGAGAAACCACCACCCAAGCAGGCTGCAGGCAACATTTGCGCAAACACGCACACACAACTGAGAAGCACAGAGCAAAACAGGATAGAGATTTATTTCTGAAAGATCAGTTACAGAACTGAGATGACACAAATACAAATTTGGTTCATCTTAACATTTTAGACAGAATATGAAATGTCAAAATCAGCTGTCTTTAACTGATGCAGAGGATGAAACAGAAGCAGGTGAAATGTGGACTTAAGTCCCCGCAATTATCTCTGTTGCAGAAAATATGCAGGAGCTGTTTCCAACTTTAAGTGCTCAGTTTTAAACCTGTTTCTTACTGAAAAACTTCTGACACGCTAATCACATTCCACAAGGAAAAGCTGACAACTGTTCCTGTTCAATGACTGCTAAGCTGGCCAAAAACATTTACTATAAGAAACCATCAAATATCAGCTCTCCCATCTTTCTCAGTGAAAATATTTCTAGGGAAAAATCAAAGTTATGTTTTTAATTTGTTTGTCTGCTTTAACGTATGTTGATAGAACATAAAGGCAGATACCAACCCATTTCCTGCTTTCAAGTTGCTTTTGCTCTCCGTGCCGAGTTGAGAAAGGACATAATGAGGCGCTTTGGCACTGTCAGCATCAAAGATATCCATGGTCGATTCTTCACAATCTCTCGGTTTGATCCCTGGCCTCTGCTTTGGATTTCGTTTACGAGATTTACGTGGCACCTCAGTGTTATCATTGTAGGAACTGGTACTCATGTTACTGAAGTTAGAGGGGGAGTCTTCCATCCACATACTGCAGCTTTGCTCAGACTCCAATCCGCACCCCTCATCCTGGCAGGACATCCGGCTGTTGTCCAGCAAATCCTCTGGTGGTGGTGAGATGTACAGGACTGTGTGCCTCTTCGGGGTGGACTGTAGCTGCTGCTGCTGCTGGACTGTGTTATTGGTTAACTGCTTGTCACTTACCCCACGGTTACTTACCCCCATGGCTGAGGAGCAGCCCTCCACTTGCATAGCTTTGCTGTCAGTGACTGAGGTAGAGTAAATGGTGGGGCCGGAAGAGGTGGTAAAGGAGCTGCAAGCACCGCCCACGGAGGAAGAGGGAGCTGAAGAAGCATCTGTGGTGTATAATCCACAAGTCAATACAGGGTCCCTGATCCCAACTCTGCTGGCTATAGCAGTCCCTTTGAAGTAGCGTGATTTGGTGAACCGATTCTTTCCCCAAATTAACGTTTTAGAATTTGGCTTGTTTTGGAATTTAAGCGCTTCAAGTAATATAAGGCTTAAGCAACACTGAAGTTTCAGAAAAGATATCCAAATTATATTTATTTTAGTGCATAATAGCAATCAGACTTTTCAGAAAATCTGTAAGTCACAAAATGGTTGCAAGCAAACAAAGGTGCTTTCATTGCCTCATCTGGACTATGAATTTAAGCCATTTTATCAAAAATGATAGAGACCCCCAGGAATGTGCATTTTAGGCCACATTATTGCCAATTGCTCAGCATCTGAAATGTTCAAAAACCTGGGACTGTGCTTAGCCACGAAGTATTAAAATAAGTTTCTAACCTATGAAGCAGAGAACTACAGGTCATTTTTAATGCAGACACTCCCTGCTTCAGAGGCAAATCCTGGAATAAAAATAATGAGAAAATAAATGAGAAGAGAGCTGCTGATTATTCCAGATATCAATTATCAAATGAGAAATGAAATATAAAATAACTGAATAGCAACAAATGGAACTGGTACCAACTGTCATTTATGAATTTTCAAAAAAAAAAAAAAAAGAGCATTGTTAGCAAAGGTTTTAACTTGGAGGATGCCCTGATCCTGAAAAGCAAGTTGAGAGAAGAGGCTGTTCCAGCTCTCTCCTTGGGTGAAAGAATGCCCTTGGGGGGATCAGAGGGGGGGTCAGGCAGAGATCCCCGCCACAGCCAAAAGTAGCTCAATAGTCTTCAAGCAGGAAGCATGAACGAGGAACTCAACCTGAGCAGCCCCTGTCAAGGGAACAGGCAAGACAGGTTCATGCAAATGAAAGGAATGATTAGGCTTCCGAATCTTCTTGGATAACAAGGTAACTGTTCAAGAATTAAATGGGCTCTGAAACACCTCTGGAGATGCTCCAGAATACTGTGAAATCAAGAACCAAAACAAAGCTTGATGTGAACTTGTCTTACAAAATCAGATAAATTGCAGAAGCGTTGAATTGAAAGTGACACCTTCTCTAGAAGGGAAACAAACGGGCAATATTTTTCTTAATGCAAAAGAATACTTTTTAATGAGCCACTGGCCTCAAATGGAATAAGTGCAGTGTGTATACTTAGCTTTTAGTCTGATTTTAAGTATTACAATCTTTTTTTTAAAAAAAATCCAAAAATAAATAAATGATTATCTTGGCTATCTACGTGATCACTTTAAGTGAAATACTAGTACATCATCAAAAAATGGAAGAAATGCAGATTAAATCATATCAATCTTCTATTTTAGCTTTTATACAGAGGAACCTTTATCTGTGAGGTATTCCCTCAGGATTCCTCATTCCATTGCCAGATAATTGCTAAAATAACCTAGAGCGCTGACTGATACCAGTTCCATTTTCCAGCTTGTGCCTCAACAAATGCAGTGGTTGAAATTGGAAAATTCGGTCATTCAAAACTGCATTTTAATTATAAAAAATCTTCATATCATGCATTAATGCAGTGCTTTCCTTTAAAAAATTTAAAATTTGTTTCAGTGACTATAATTGCTGATTTGCAGCCACTTTTGAGTTAGAATAAGTTGACATTTCTGAAGTGATCTTTATTAAAACAGAGCAAATATATATTTAACTATTCACTCACAGCTATTCAGCTTGCTTTGATTAGATATTCTGTGTGAATTATGAAATACATGCAGAAAGAATGCTGTAAACTTGCATTGGCATAAACAATACTTTCTACAAGTTGGAAAACCCATGCAAAATGTGACAGACAATCTCTGAATTTCTACGTAAGAGAAGAGCAAGTAGGAAGACTAATTCAACTCTGATGTAAACTGTCCAAAACACTGCCTGGGATGTTTTGACCAATCCTTTACCCTAGCATCCATTTTTATCTGCTGTTAAGTGAGATAAAGACTGTCAGTTCTGGAAAAGAACAACCCATTTCCCTACTTAAAAAGTGGAATTAGCACAATCACCCAAATCCACACTGGCACCATTATGCCAGATTAATTCCCTACAGAGGGAATTCACATGAAAAAAAAATCTTTCCAAGAAACATAATGATTATTAGATTTTATTAAACAATATTAACACAAAGTGAGAAGTATGTTACAAAGAAATAGTAACTCCTCCAAAATATTATTTTACATGATATTTGAAAAGGAAAAAATGACTTTGTTTACACACAAAGGAAATCAAGAGATCCAGCTTTGTTTTTGTAAAATTTTGTCAACCCTGTGTTTCAGGTTGACTTAGGATAGATCAGGGCAAATATAATAAACTATGTCAAGATATAAATTAGAGGCTTTCAAAGCTTGAAAAAATGAGCAAGTTTAGTTACTTCAATTAAGCACAGCAATTATAATATGCAAGTAGTCCTCAACTTATAACCGTTTGTTTAACGACCACTCAAAGTTACAAGAGCTCTGAAGATGTGACTTATGACTATTGCAGCATCTCTGCGGCTGCATGACCAAAATTTGGCTGCTTGGCAATTGGCAGGTAATTCACACAACAGTTGCAAAGTCCTGGGACCAGGGGATCGCCACATGAAACCTTTCTAGGGGACTTCCCACAAGCAAACTCCATGGGGGGTGGTCAGGTTCACTTAATGACATGATTCACTTCATGCAAAAAAATGATTAGTCACCTAATGACTACGCTGCTTAACAACAGGTGTGTTCCAGTCCCAACTATGGTTGTAAGTCGAGGACTACCTATACAGGGATTAAGCAGAAAAGAGTGTAACCTAGGATGGATATCCTGCTGCTGTATTTGAAGTTTGCAAGGAGACTTCATTTTAAGGGACTGAATATGCCTCAGCAAGGAACGAATGCTCACTTTTCATAGGGCAGAAATAGAGGGTATTATGTGAATTCATGTCTAGTATGTAATAGCAAAACCTTGACTGATCAGTTGGTGCTGAAGCAGCTTCAAAAACAAATTAATCCCAAATCAGGAGTTAAAATGTCACTTTAAACCTGACATTCATGAAGAATTATGACCAAAAATTGGCTGGATCTGGGAAAAGGGTTATTGGAAATCTCATTTCACACTGTTAAAATACAGGTGTATATAGGGCACTCCAATGTTCAGTATTATTTTTAGGGCATAAATTAATTTCTAGGATCAAAATTGCATTATTAATAAAACTGAAGCTGGATGGGTTAGTTTTATGCATTCTGTGAGATGCAATATTACATATCAACAAAGCTAAGGGCCACCAAATCCATTTTTACAATTACAATCATGTGCCAAATATTTTGAGTATTGTGGCAATAAAATGGTTAATTGTTTATAATTAAATCCTCCAATCATCATACTGAAAGATCTTGGAACTCTCATACTATCCATTCTGCAATTGAAACAAACCACGTAGCTTAAAAGGGCACAGTAGCAATTTTAGTAGCATTGTTCAGATTATTATTCTGCCTCTAGGCAAGCAGATAGCAAAACACAGCATACAAAAAGCACCATCTGTTTTCTGTGTTACAACTATGGTACCAGAGTGACTTCCAAAGAGTACTGAGCCTTGTTCACTGCCTTCCAGAGACTAAGAGTGTATAATCTAAAGGTCCGGTGCATTTTTATAGCAGTGAGACTGAGATCTTAGAGCTCAGGAATCAGGAGCAGAGGAGCTGGCCTAATCAAATATGCAGCTGCTGCTCAAGTTCCTAGATAAAGTGTAACAGTAGTCTTTCCTCTTGGAAGACTTACATATTTTTATATATATATAAACACCTTGTCCTTCATAGGCTCTTTGGTAGGCACAGAGAAAACTGCTATTTTTAGAGGCAAAGCTTAAAGCATTTGTTTACTGCATTAGCATTTCATTCTCTGAGAGAGTTCAGGAAGGCCTTCAGAGGCACAAGATTTTTCCACAGGCTAAGCCTAAGCCTAGCGATAAGAAGACATTTCAATTGCCTTTTCATAGCGTATAGGGATGGTGGGGCCCAGTGCCTCGGGTGCCATGCAAAACAATATGTGCACAAGCAGCCAATGAATGAAGCATGGCAGACATTTGCCACATACTCTTCACTGTTCAGGAGACCGAAGAGAAAACGTGCACATCCCCTAAAACAGGGGTTAGGGCAGATCCATTCCAAAGGCAATCCCCCATACAAATAATCTTTAGGAATCTTGATTTATTTATTTTTGATGGTTACAATTCTTCCCAATTACTGGGAGAGTTGACTTTCCAGAGTCAGTGAAGAAAAAGTTAGAAGTTCTGAAGTGAAGACAGAGGGACACCAGATCTTGTATTGTCAAAGTCACAGACAAAGTGGCTGCAAATCTGCTTTCATACCTTCATGCCAACTTTGGCTTACTAATCTTCTCCAGCTTCATTTATTGATACCATGTCAAAAGCTTTATTAGAGGTTAACTTAAGACAATCCACTATTTATAAAACAAAGTAAAAAGGAAAGGAGAGAGACTGATGAAGAAGTCTGAAACAAGACCGACCTATACCCTGGGTGAGATTGGATGGGTTAAGTGTCTCTGGTACTATTTGTCTTCACTACTGATAGCACACAACCCACCACACGATGCCTGTCTCTGAATGGCGAAGCTAGAATGCAAGTTAAGTGTATTAATAGAGAAAACAACTAGCATCCCAGCAATATCAAAAAACAACCCCCTTTACTTTAAACATTCAATGCAGATTCAGAATAGATTGATCACTTACATTATTGCCCAAATAGTTTAAAATTTCCCATTACATTTACATGCTGTAACAGCATTTAAAAAATCAAATCAGAATCCAATCTGCTTTGACACACAGAGTAACTTAATATTTGTACTGACAAATGCACAAGTTGTTATTTCTTACCTGCAACTTTAACTGGATGTTCATGTTCATCAGTTCAGACTAGGAAGTCTGACAATCAAAAATGATAATTAGAGGCAGTCAACCAGCAGACCAGCCCTCAGTCCTTTGAGGCAGGGCCCTGGGGAGCTGCCATTAGGCCTTGCTGACAAGATGCCAACAGCATATCCTTGGAGAGGGCAAGCACCTGCCTTCTTCCCCCAACCCCTCCCCAAGTGCTATTAGTTTACTTAATTTTACCTCAGGGACAGAAACACTTAACACCCCCCCCCCCTTTTCTGATGTTTGTAAAGGCAGCTTTATCCCTAGCATACTTATTGTAAGCATTGGTAAAACACTGAAACCGCTACTCAATCCAGTGCAGCCTGATAGCTAATGTATCTATCCAAATATCAGTTCCTGTAGCAACAAAAATGCCCAGGTCAGGGAAATCATACTTGACGGACAGAAACTCCCTCTCTCAACCTCTCCGGGGAGACCCCTGCATATCATGAGCCACGGGCAACTGATTTTACTCAGCAGGCACTGGGGAGAATAGCAGCTCCTGTATCTCTTTGTCCATCATGAACTTCCAACACAAACTAAACCACTTAGAGGAAGTTGTGCTTGATCTTTTATTGACCTGCTTATTGATTATTAAATTAATATGCCACCCATCTAACTATAAAGTGGTTCACTTATTTTCTCCTCTTTCGAAGCATGCTTTTCCAATTTTTGAAACACCATTAGAATGCAAAGCTTTGCAAGACTCATTTGAGTTATTACTTGGCATCAATTTGAAGAATATACTTCAATATTAAATAAATGCACAGCCCCAGCAACTGTGGGAAGATGTTTTAAAACATTACAATTATACCCACATACTTCTTGTTACAAACATGCCAACCTGGCCTATTCTAAGAAGAGCCAGAATACCATATTGGTTACCGCTTTAGGCTTGTTTAGAATTTAAGCAATAAAATCCATGGGACTGAAGCAAACATGATCAATATGATTTTCTACTGCCTAGAGCAGCCTTATGGCAAGACAGGAGGCAAATAAATTTAACAAATAAATAATAATTCCAATTTAAATGGATCCACTCTGATCTCTTGAGCTCAAAAGTAAGCAAAGCTAGGCCTGGTTAGTATTTAGATAGGATAGGGGATGCCATCAGAGTTGCAAGATTGCAATTTTTTGCGTGCTCATGTCCATGGAATCAATCTGAATCAAAATTAACTCAAAGGCATTTACTTTTTAATTTGCATTTAATATAAGCGCTGAAAAGCAGCCCAGAAAGCCGGTATCTGTGGTACCATAATTTCTTTAAGATACAATTTTAAAGGAGGTTATCAGGAAGCCCATCTTGCATCTCCACACCAATTATGTATCTTCCTTTTCTTTAAGAAATACTCCGGCCACCTATCTTTTAACAGGATCAAGAATACTTTTTTCAGGTTAGCCAAGGATTATTCCTGTTTTATGCTTCTTTTATATATTTTCATTAGCTAGTAGAGATTTAATTAATTATTTTTATACATACTAGAAGCTGAACTGGTGCGCCAGTTCTTCACACACTCGCTGGCAAAATGACAGGAGAAGAACTGGCCAAGGCGTGGCTGCCACATGATATCCAAGCATTTCCTCCTGGCTTTTAGGCATAAACTAACACGGGTTCTTCCTCTTCTCCTTCTGTTTCTCAGAGATTAAGAGTAAGGATCATTCTCTGGTTTCACACTAGTCCCAGTTAGTAATACAATATCATGTAATGCATCCAATATCAATTTATGCTCCTTTATGATTATTGATGGTTCTCTGGCTTTGAGACAGAGGCATCTCTTTAGAGCTTAACATGTAAAAACAGCTGTCAACTGATAGTTGATCCTTGATAAAGGAGTCACCTTACATCTGGAATGATGAACATGAAGCATTCCTCTTATACTAAAACAATTAAATGTGCTCTTGATTAATTTTCATGTCTTAGCTTTAAACTGGTTTAGATGGATTTGCAAATTAAAAGCCAATCAATAGTAGCAGAACTAGCAGTCTGTTCTTGCAAGACCTCATGCTTGAACTCAGCCAATCCTGTCCCTTAAGAAATCGGAAATTTACTGATGCATATTTTATGTAACCTGTTAATGTGCTCCAGAACCACTGATTAAAGCAATAAAAGAGACCTGGGGTTACCGGACTTGAAACATATATTAGCTCACCTTATGGCTAAGGAAGCAGAAAACAAAAGAAGCTAAGTCTTAAATAAGGTAAATAGTTCTCATCGGTCGTCATTGGTCAATGACACAGTAAAACTGATTCAGGATGGAGGACTCTGAATGTAAAATGAAATGTAAAGACAACTGTCATTAGTGCACAGTTGACAGTATTCAAATGTTAGTTGAACATTTAAAGATATGCCTTATTGGTCCTTCTCTTATCACACACAAGATACAGTTTATTCTTTGTTCTTAAATGACTGTAACTTTCCCCACTTTTAAAAAAAGATCTTGGTCTGCCTCATAGATTTCTCTTGTTCTCCAGTTTTCATCCTTCTGTGTTCTTTCTTTTTGCACAGCAAGGTTGCAATTTTTAAGCCAGCCTTGTGGGCAAGTTAATTTTCCACTGTATACAACATTTGGAATTAAACCTTCCTATGTTTAGCCCTGCTGTATAAATATATTATCTTTCTTTAAAAAGCAGATTTTAGAGATTATTTCTATTAAAGCCATATTTTAGGGAGTATAATACATTAAATACAAGCTACTGCTTAGTCAAGTAATTTAACCAATATTATACTAAATAATATTGCTTAACTGCCAACTATCGGGAAAGTAGTACTTCAAAATCTGTCTATTACATACACAACTTCTACTCTACTACTACTGTACAATACATGTATTTGGAAAGAATTTGTTGCTCAATGTGTGGAGTAACACAAGAGAATCTACTACTGCATGTTCGTTTCTTTAGAACGAACTCACATGTTCTTTTTGAAAAGAATTGGACTGACTCAGACAACCAAAGCTGACAAGTAACAGACAACTAGTTCTCCTAAGCCAATTTTTCAAATGCTTGAAAATGAGCTCAAACATGAAAAACATTAAAGATCTGTGGGTTTAAAATGCTAGCATTTTCTTGCAACTGTTTTTCTCTAACTAATTGGCTTTATATATCAAAGGAAAGTATGCTTCAAGACTTTTTTTAAACTAAAATCTTCTTTGAATTTAATGACTAGCCTTCCTAATCTACACTTAAATCCACAGATTTCATGAGGAAAAAATTTCAAATACATGAACAGTGAGCAGTGCTGCAAAGTATTTAGCCTTGACTCAAGCTATACCTTTACAAATCAAGCAGACGGTTGCCAAATCCTGGCAACAGCTTTGTGGGGAGAATCTGGAATAGAACTATGAAGAAATCTATTCCAAATATATATGATTCCAAGGTAAAATCTGTCTAAGACAGGCTTACACCAGGCAACTCCCTCCAGAAGTCTCGAAGATAAAATAAAACCAAAAATAGGAGAAAAGACTTTAAAGTCTACATTAAGTAGGAGACTTCCAAATTATTTCTGAGTTTAATTTATGGTAATTTTAAATTCTGTTTAGCTGATGTCCCTTCATATAACTCCTAAGTAACTAAATATTCAAATTATAAGGAATATGTTTTAATTAAAGCTAGTACTTTGATTCTCTTTAATTCTTCTCTAACAAAAATAATGTGTTGGAGGTATATTTAACACTCCATCTCAATTATAATTTAGCAATTACCACATTTAAAAAAAGGCAAACAAGGCTTGGAGAAGAAGATGAAGTGGGCAATAACATATCCAGTGTTGCTTTTTTATATATATCTGCAAACTTTTCCAGCACTGCTCATATGTTCAATAATATTCATATTTATTAAAATCTTAATCTAAGCCAAAAGAAGTACTTACCAGCAGCAACTACGCCCGGAGGGGGCGAACCCACTTCGCCCCCACTGGTTTGACTCATGGATGCTACTGAGAGTTCCCTGGAAGGTGGCAGCTGCAGCTCTTTAGGGAGGAGATCATAGACTGATTCTGCCAATGAGAAATAGAGGCATTTATGATCCAAACCAAATGTTCACTGCTATTTAACAACAAAACATAAATAAAGGGAATAATGGCAGTGGTCACTAATCTCCCATATGTAAAACCAGAATTGTTAAGAAACATGCATATTTTAAGCCTACAGAAGAACAACGATACATATTTTTGCATGACAAATAAAAGCAAAAATGTTGTCGGACAGTTAAAAGCATTACCAAATACCTTTGATCCAATCTTTCATATCTTTATATATTTAAATACATATTTATATATTTACTCCTCTAATTATGCTTTGTGCCAAAAAAAATCAAACTTTATGGGAAAGAATTTTGTCCTACTTTCTGTTGTATTCTGTTTTCTACAATCTGATTCTCATGAAAAGTTCCCTCAATATGTGTACTAATCTACAACTAATTTCTTGTTGCACAAATCTGATTCAGGAAATGTGATTGTTTTGATTCTATCTAAGCAAGCAATTATTTAGGACATTTTTTTAACATTTATGCATACAGTATAATGTTATACCTGCTTTTATGAGCTTTATTTAATTAGATCATCAGCATGATCATACAGGCTTATTTTTAATTTATTTCATCAACCTGTCCTATTCTGAGTTTTAAAAAATTAACCAATAATTTAATATCACAACTATCACTGTTATTATGTTCCTACAGTCTTCACTGAGAGGTCAAGACAATTTGCACATGCATGGATTACTTTCTAGGTCCCCCCATCAAGTAAGTAGAAATGCCAGTAGTTTTTTGAGTCTGACTCAGAAGCAAAGCCTTGAGTTAGTTTGTGGTTCAAATCAACACGAACAACGAGCATTCAGTTTAGCTTTACTTACTTTCTCCATGCAATATTATTAAATAAGCCCTTGTACAAGACTTGGGATGGAAGAAAAATGTGGACTGGTGCCCTGCATGCTGACCGAGGACAGAGCATTAAAGCTCAGCTACTGAACAGCAACGCCTGCGGGAGGGATTCTCCTCTACCTCACCTACTCTGCACAAGATGGAAGATTATCCTTTAGAGAGAAGAATGAAACAATCACCACCACAGGACCCAAAACATTTTTTCCTGGCAGAAACATTTTCCTTCTTTCCTTCAATATCATAGTTCCATGACACAACCACACAAGGCATAGAAATGTTCAACCTATTTTTCATTTTGGGTAGCTTGGCAGAGTGAAGCCTTTGAGAAGTTTAACATATATTTTAAGTCATGTATCAGTAAAAAAAAAACATCAGTTTAAATCATTCTGAAATTTGGGTCTTCAAATAATTAATGACTAAATTTTCTTTTGGAAAAGGCCTGTAATGTTCTGAATAGCAGAACTTCAAATTAAAACATTATACAATTTGGAAAATAAAACTGAAGAAAAGAATGCAACATTTCTCCTAAAATTCATTTTTCCACTTGATGGATCAGATTAGTATCATAACTATCAGAAAAAGTTTCAACTAAATATGAATGTTAGAAATCCCACATAAAAAACGTTTCACACTTTAACATTTTGTCCTAGGTCCAGTTTATACCATTATAGTACATTCTTTTAAGAAATATACAGAGATAGTCATCTAAATCTCAATTCTACTCTGATCACTAGATGGATCATAAACCACAGGTTGAGCACAAGGATCCAGAAATGCATTCACCAGCTCCTTGGGATGAGTGCATTCAATTCTACATTTTAAAGTTCTATTTCCATTTTTATTTCCAAGCAAGAAACAAACCACAGGAGCGACAGGAGGGCTGGCTTTTAATCTTATCTTCTCAAAGCCCTGCATAAATGAAAGATGATCCTGCCTTTTTCCAAAGTCCACTCTGCATGACTGAGGACAATCACAAAGAATGCCATTAGTGAACCAAACAAATATTTATGAGCTTCTGCTGGACAATAACTATTCATTTTAAGACTAGTATAAGGACTTCCCCCAACTTGCTGACTTAACTGAACTCAGAAGCAATTATTAGATAATATTTATTCTGTCAACTGCTGCTGCCATTTGGCAAATCAGTATTCTTTTTTCTGTTATGGTGTAGATCTCGCTATGTTTGGCAAAATTGCAGGAAAAGATACTGGTTGTACATTAACCTTTAAAAGGATTGCAGCAGCCAAGAATAAAAGGGGGGGGGGGAGACATTCAACATGTAAACTATCATCTTTTTCTACTGTTCCTTGATGAATTAAGCTCATCTACTTCCAGATAGTGGAATTAAAATAGTGCAACATTTTATAAACTTCAAAAAGGCAAGGCCTTATTATAAGAATACCAAACTTTCAAAACAAACCCACCGAAGTTCTATTATTACCTTATTTCCAAACTTTGCTTGATACAATGCATACTATTGTTAGACTTGAAAGATAGAGCAACACTTTATTCTTTGATTGCATTTTTCCAATCAGGCATTTCCCATTTTCATTTGCTTGAAGGATTTAAAATAAATCCATCTGCTTGAGTAAGGGCCAAATATGTGGCAAGAAGTTAATTCTCCTTTTTTCACTGATCTCTTTTGTTTCCATAATTAGGGACACGTGACCTACAGAACTAAAAAGAAAAACCTATACCATGAATGCAAACACTTGCAATATAAAAAACCCTACTTAAACTTGAAGAAATGATCAGCAATGACAAAGGTGAACAATGCTGGATAGTCTTTAAGGTACTGGACTTGAGACCTCGGCTGAAATTCCCTCTCAGTCATGGAAGATAAATTATTTCTATGTACAATAACCACATAATGGTGGTTATGGGGGAAAACATATAGAGAGAATGCTATTTACCCAGCCTTGGGCTTCTAAATGGAAGGAATGGGATGGGTGAATCAAAGGCCCTTCTATTTCAACTCCATATCAGTTATTCTTCAGAACCAATTATGTGCAAGCTGTGGTCCAAGAACAGAACCCTGATGTTGATTTCTTACTGTTCTTCATTTGCAAATGTACTTATCATAGATACTGTTTACTATCAACACACAACTGTGTGCTTTAGTTTAATCAAGAATGCTTTAAGCAGGAAAGCAGGGGAAATGGCTCAGGGATAGCTTTAGAGATCTAAAGACAAATAGACACAAATTAAATATTCTCCAGTTCCAATAATTGCTAATACTATCAGGATGTCTATCTAATATATGTAAGAGTAAATCAATTCTTTCATTCCTAATAATCAAACTGGAACACCTACTTCCCTGCGGCCCCTGATTTGTGGGAGCTCCTAATTTCCAATCGTGGGATTAAGCAAACAATTCTATTTCCTTGTGTTTACAGTACTTATTTGCCATTTCTCAATTAAACTAGTGGCAAACTAGTCTGAATTTTGCAAAACTCCAACAAGTGCTGCTTCAACGAGGATGGCCTTAAAAGCAGGCATTAGAACCTTAGAAGAGAAAGTAAACCAAGAATCAACCATATTCTAATCATGATCTACTGCTAGCCTTCTTTTACATAAAAACCACACCATGAGATGAAAACATACAAATTTGATAAACAGATTCTCTTTTGAGATGAGCTCAGTTTATCTTGATAAATTTTTATTGCTAATTTTCTTGGCAGGTTTTCTACTGCCTTTTCTCAGGGTATCTTTCTCAACTTCCCAGACTGAAGCCCTGAAGTATCAGCTGAGAAATGCAACCCTTTTTATTTGGGCCTTCAATATCAGTCAAGGTCAGCTAGGCTCCCTACCTGCTGAGGGCCATGCCAAATCTCTCTCCCGTCTCTGGAATTAAGCTGGGGGATTAAGGAGACTGAGAAATCTCTGATGGTTCTACCTTGCTAGGGCAAACTACCAGGCGCATACACCTAATGCTGAAGCATTCAGATTCTGTCCAAGCCCCTTTCTGTTCTCCAATAATGCCCATACTCAAAAAGTCCGTGCCAAATTCTCAGCAGAGATGACTATAAATAGATTTGCTATTACTGAAGTGTTTCTCGGTTTATAGTCTGTTCAGTAGTAAACAGTCTACTTGAGAAAGTCCATCAATGCTATTTCCCTGCCATGCCACTGTTCTTGGTTAGACAGGAATGCTTATGTATTTGGTTTTTGTATTTATCTTTTAAAAATATGAAAGCTACAGTTATGAGCAACTGAATCAGGGATCAATTATTCATATAAATTGCTAAATTAAACTTCAACTGTCTAAAACAAAAACATTTTATCATTATGTTTCCCAGTAATTATTGAATGTAGCAAGCCACTGAATAAATTGTACATTTCAATAAAGGTTATCATACAAGAATTTTTTAAATCCATATTGCTGCTATGATTATAATGTAAGATATAAATGATAACAGATGCAATGCAAAATGAGTAGGAAAGGCAATAGTTTTGTATTTATTGTGGCAGCCAAGATAAATAAATTTCCATCACTACCATTTATTTTCCTAGTTTCCTGCCACATCTTTGACTTGTAAACTTCCAACTATACCAACCAAATCAATGCCACAAAATGAATTTGCAGTCTAAACCAAGGGTGTCAAACTGAAGGCTGGCGAGCCAGATCCAGCCTGCAGGGTGCTTAAATCTGGCCCACAGGGCCAGCCTGGAAATAACAAAGGACCAGCCAGTGGTGCCTCTGCTAGCAAAAACGGGGCATGGGCCCCGTCTTGGCCAGCAGGGTGCTGCAGGAGGCATCTGACCCGTCTCCCCCCCCCTCGGCCAGTCCGCGGAGAACTACAATGCTGATCTGGTCCTCGAAGAAATCCAGTTTGACACCTGTGGTCTAAACCATATTAATGTATTTTGTGCATTATATGCTTTGCTATATCCACTCTCGCAACTGATCCAAGCAGTCCAAGCATCAATCTAGGACCATCTGAATTAAAACTCCATTCAGACATTAGACTCCCTAAGAGCCACCCCTGACTCCTACCAGAATCTACTTTATAAGCTCATTGCAAGACTGATTACATTATACATTGCCTTAAGCACATGACAGTGAAGATGAAGCATGTATTACAGAAAGTACTTAGATAAGCACTAAATTATTCCTTTAGTCTATTTTTAAATTGTGTTGATGTTTATAACAGAAGGAAATAAAGTCACTCAATCAGATAAGACTTCTAGATAAAAGGCAGACGTGGTTTAAAATGTCCTGCATTGCTTTCTTTATTGCTACCTTTTGGGTGAAAGAATGTTATGCTAAATATATAGAAATGTTATACCCACTCACACATGCAGAGTGAGATCAAGTAGAAGAATTGCCATGAGATCCTGATGCAATGTACTATGGACAAATATCTGAGGTATAGCTGAGAAATTCTGAGAAATCCTAACAGGACTGGAAAGGGCTGAACTGATTATAGCAGTAGAAGAACAGGCATTAAGCACCAGAGCCGCAGAAGTTCTACCAGAACTATGCAGAGAAGCCTCAGGGACAGTCCAACAAATGGTGGCAGCAGGCAGGGACAGCATAATCAAGTAACTGACATTGTGTACAGGAACATCTGCACAAGGTATGGGCCAGAGTCTAGACCCTCACAAATACAAATAGGAGATTCCACAGAAGGTTGGGGACAATAAGAGAGCTAAGATCCTGTAGGATTTTCAGATCCAGATAACAGGCAGGTCATAGTAAATCAATCAGACATCATGGTAGTAGACGAGGACCAGAAGACAGTGATGGGGAGAGATGTAGCAGTATCAAGGGACAGCAACATCAGAGGGAGAGGTACCAGGGCCTGCTGTTTTTGACACTCCTGAACCAGAGGATGTGGAAAGGAAAGACCAAAGCAATCCAGCAATGCTAGAATTTCAGGCTGTGACTCCTAAGCTGGGAGAGGCTCCAACAGATCCCAGAAACAACCTCACAGCTTTCTCTGTTGTATATAAAATGTTACATATATGGTGTCTGGGTGTATGCACATGCATATCTATTTGTTACACAAACTTTCAAATCTCACTTGTTTGTAATTTTATGTATTCTTTCTAGTTTTGTTACCATTCATATAACAAAGTACCTGCTATTTTATTATGAGAAACTGAGAAGAATGTTAAAAAGTGTGTTTAAAAATATTTACTTAAATCCTCTATGAAAATTATTGAAATTGTGTTTATTTACAAAAGTCCATGCATTTGCAGCAATCAGTATTTTAGGTTTACTTAGGATGTTCTACTTGAATAATATTTACTATCATTCTTTCAGAATTATTTCTGAAAGCAAATACATTGTAAGATTATGTATATTTGCTTGGTTATCACAACCACATGCTCTTAGTATGATAATTGTTATCACTGATCTATATTAAATAAAAGGTCACCTGTGGTTGTCAGAATAGCTTTTGCTAAAGATTTAACAACTATTTGTAATAAGTAGAGACTTTTAAAGTATATTCCACAGAAAAGGAACTAAGACAATTTGAAAATAACCTTTCCAAATTCAAACCTAACTGTGATAAATCAACAGTTTGATAAAAATGTGAAGTGACTGCTAAGATTGATTGAAGCAATATTGAGCAAATGGTAATGCCCAACACATATTTGTCATAATAGACAATTTCTGTTAATAACAGGCATTTTCAACAATTTAACCTTTTCATTTGCTATTCACGCTCAAGGTCGCCCACTTGCCTCTAGTCCCCTCCTTCCCCTCCCCAAGAGAAATTGAATGGGACTTTTGGGGTTACTAAACCTTCTAACTTCCCCTCTCGCGGCGCAAGGACTTCCAGTCGGTTCCGGGCAGGAGGAGGCTTTGTGCCTACCTGCAGCCAGGCGAGGGCCGCCAGTGTCCCCGTCCCACTCCGCTTCCTTATCTGGCCCTCGTCCACCCGGGGGAGGCGCCTCGTCCAAAGCCACCCACCCACCGCTGACCGGGCGCCTTTTCCGCCTCGGGTCTTCGTGCCGCCCGCGCGCCCGGCTCCGCTTTCCGCGGCCAGAGGAAGGCGCGGCCAGCCAGGCCTCCTTCGTCCCTCGGGGGTTTTCGGCCTCTCGGGCGTCCCGCCGGCGGCCCTGAGCGAGGCCTCCCCGCACCCACAGCCGCCCTCGCCGGGCTGCTCTCGGGAAGTGCCTCTGGGCCCCCAGGCGGATCCGCGCGGCGGCGGGGCTCGCAGACATCGTGCGCCGGCCTGCTGCGAGGCTCCAACCGCGCGGCCGCCCGCAATCCGGCCTGGACGGCGCCGGCCGCGGAGAAGGCCCTGCGCGGCCTCGGCGGCCGACTCACCCTTGGAGTAGAGGGACTTGGGCGACTCGAGGTCGAGGTCGGCGCTGAGCAGAGAGATGAAGTCCGAGGGCATCGCCGCTCCGGGGCCGCGCTGCGGGGGCGGACGAAGAAGCGGCTCCGCGGGCGCCACTCCAGCCGCCGCCGCCGCCGCCGCCGCCGCTCCTGACAGGAATCCTGTGGCTGCTGCCCAGCGGGACCGCCCCCTCGTTCCTAGCACTGCGCATGCGCCGCCCGGCTCCGAGCGCGAGCGGCGGCCGGAGAGAGACTGAGAAAGCGGCGGCGAGTGCAAGGCGCATGCGCCCCGCCCGAGAACGTGGGGAAATCCTCGCCCTTCGGGATCCTTCGACCCCTGCTCACCGAGAGGGAAATTGGAGCGCACATGCGCTCGGGCCTGCAGTGCCTGGGGGAAGGGTGGGATCGCGACGCGAAGGAGTGTTTCTGCGCTTGCGCCACTAGAGCGGCCCCGGAGGGGGGGTCGCGGAGGGAGTGGCGCAGTAATTAGTCTGTTCGGCTCCTCCCTCGCAGGAGGCGGCAAGAGGGCGGAGCCGAGGGCAGATCCTCTTGTTAAAGGGGCGGGGCCTGGGTAGGGAGGCGTAGCACCCAAGAGGGAAAAAAGGGGGAGTAGCGGCTCCAGGTCGGAGCGCCCCCCCGGACGTGCCGTCGAGTCCGACTCGTTCAGCGGCCCAAAATACGTGGTCAACCCAACGGGCGTCCGTCGTGGAAGCGAGGGGTGGCACCCAAGAGCCCGGCCCGCCCGGCGGCGCCGGCAGCAGCAGGAAGGCCCCGGGGGGGGCGGGGGGGGGGGCCCCCCCCCCGAGGCCCGGGGGGCCCTTCTGGAAACCCCCCCCCCCCCCCCGGTCTCTCCCGGTCTGCCCAAGGAGGCTTTTGTGTCTCGGGCGGTTTCCTCAGGAGCCGCCTTCCTGGGCTGCCTTTCTCTCAACTTTGCTCCTCTTCTGAAGAGCTGGGCAAAAACAACCGGGAAAGCCGCACAGGCTACAGGCTGTGCGCACAATCCTGCTTCGCCAGGTGAATGGAGGGAAACCTGCATTTCCACATCCTGGCACTGACTTGATCCTTGTTGCCTCGGCTGGATTGGGATATTTTGGTTTGGTTGTGAAACTCCCTTTTGTTAATTTGAAGCTCTGTATATTGTCTGCACCAGGAACCTGGGTTAATTCAGTAATCAGACTGAGAATGTCTCTTGTTCAATAAATGTCAATAAAACCATATGTGGCATCATTCTGGTACCATTGGAACTGTTTTCTTTTGCAGCCTGTGGAAGCTTTATTTTTCCTCTAGTAGTATATTGTTAAATTACAATATTTTGATACTGCTATGAATAAATGGCATATCCACACAGGACATCTGTTTGTTAACTACAGAAAGTTCCATACACAGAAAAGTTAGATAAGAAATGTGATCCAACACATCTGGACAGCAGGTTGAGAATAGTCACGCTAAAGCTAGTCTGGCCAAACCCAGCTGAACACAAATACATCAACACTACAAGCCAAAGTGGCTGCTTTACGCATGCTCAAGCCATAAACCATGGTTTAAAAGGGCTTGGGGGGATTGCAGGAATCTCAATCGCACATAAAAGAAATGCAGAAATGATGGCTCCTTTATACTGTAGAGCCAGTCTGGTGTAGTGTGGAAGACATCCCGTCAGGCCATGAGTTCCGGCCCTGCCTTAAGCACAAAGCCAGGTCAGCGACCTTGGGCCAGTCCCTTTCTCTCTGCCTTAGGAAGGAGCACTGGCAAACCACTTCTGAAAAACCTTGCCAAGAAAGCCGCAGTGACTGGTCAGTTGCTCAGAGTCAACGCTTACTTGAAGGTGGTATGCCAGATCTAGATGGGAAGACGTATTGGATTAGATTAAGCCGTTTGATTTTAAAATAGTTATTTTATTCATGGGCTAGGAGAGATTAGCAGCTGTTTCCTAATAGGTGGCAATCACAAGTCAGGAGGTAAATTATTTTCCAACGATCATGTGGAAAAATAAAGCAGAAGAGAATGCAAATCTGTCAACAGCCCAGGAGAGTCAGGGCCAACTCCCCGGCATTTCCTGAGAGGCTTCTCACAGCAGGATCCCTAGCAGAAGGACAGCGGTGGACATAGAGCCCAAGGCTAACATGGCAGCCCAGGGTGGAGCTCAGCTTCAGCCTTGCACTCACCTTTTCCTTTTGTGCTGCCCTTGGCCAGGTGAAGGTAAAGCCAGGAGGAGGAAAGGCAAGACTTTCGGGCATTGGGATATTTTTAATTTTGGTTATGGGTTCTTTTGTTTTCTGTACTGATTATTTACGAGAAACAGACATACAAAAATGGTAACTAAATAACACAGGCTTTCCTGCTGCTGGAGAGGGGCTATGGCACTTTTGGCTTAGGAAAGGGGCAGCAAGAGACCAAGGTGCCTCAAGGCACCAGAGGTCTACAGTTCCTCTCCTTCCTTTGCTCCTTCGTTTTCACAAGCCCCTCCCTCCCCACCCTCTGCCTTTCTAGGGTTCAGGGCTGTTTGGACTAAGCCCTCCTGCTGCAGACAGCTGTGCCTGTCCATGCTGTTCCACAGCCAGGAAGACCTGCATGACGACCACCTCAGCCACTTGCTGAGGCTTGCCCGTCTTTTGCTGGAGCTCAGCAGGAAGGCTTGGGGCAGCTTGAAGCAACCTCTGCCCCCAGCGCCAGCCACCTTTAAAGCCCTTGTTTGCTGTCTGTTAGGCCCTGCTGTGCCTCCCGATCTCTGTTCTGACACACAAAGCAAACAATAAAATCCCAGCGCATCAGGCAATGGCCAGAAATAAAAACTGGCAGTAAACAAACTGCTCCTTCCCTTCCCCGCCCCCACCTACCCACCCAACTCTTGCCCAAGAGCAGGGCTTCCGGTGGTGGACAGGTCCCTGACAAAACCAGGGCTGTCCTTCTTATGGTGGAAGGGAAGGATGGTTTGGCCAGGGGCCCTGGTCTCCCTTCCACCTGCTGGGCTCCACCCAGAGCAAGCTCTTTATTCTGTCTCCTGGTCCCAGCTGCCTCCATAGCATCTTTGGGCCCGTTTCACCTCAGAGGCAGCAATTGACTGGGAAGGACTCAGGAGCTGCTGGGGTGTCTTTTGGATTCGTCTGTGCGATTCCACACCCCCGACACCCTCGGCTGTGGCGAAAGGAACAGGCGGCCAGTTACCTCAGCAGGGGAGCTGGCCCTGCACCAATCCCCCTCTTGGCAGGTCAGGCCAAGCACAAGTTACTCAGCCACAAGGATCAGCTCCAAACAGGATACCTTGGAACAGGTCAACGGCAACTTCCGCTTTGTGCACTGGCTCCAGCAGGGAAAATGCCACCAGCCCTCTTCCTTCACGCTTAACTCCTTTTGCCGGGTGTCTGGACTGTTAGGCCAGGTAAAGGGCAACCTTCCTGAGATGGAAAAACGCTGAGAGCCCCGATGGGTTGAAGACCGCTTTGAAAGAAGGAAGGTTCAACCTCAGCCCATCGCATGCGGATGGCAGAGGAGGGAAAAACAGGACCCAGAAGCCTTCTGAATAGTAACCTCACCATCATCTTAGTGCAGCGGCCCCCAACCTTTGGGGCACCAGGACCAGTTCCTAAGAGAGAGGTTTTCCCATGGATCGGAGCGGGGAGGGCGAGGCTTGGCATATGGCCTGCATCTTGCGGATGAGACTTCGCTTGTTTGCACGGCCCGGTTTATGGCCTGCCGTGGACCAGTGCCGGTCCGTGGACTGGGGGTTGGGGTTCCCTGTCCTAGCGATTGAATTCTACAATAAATAAATATATTGACAATTCCCTGTCCTCCTTTTCAATAATTCATACGGAGTATAAACACACACACACACACACAGACACAAAAGGTGGGGGCGTGGCCTTTATTTAAGAAAAAGAGCAACTGATTGATGCAAATGACTGGCTGGAGTGGGAGGAAGGGATATAGGGGTGGGCTGGTCTCTACTTCACATGTACAGTCTTGATTTGGCTGAGTATATTCCAGTATTGTATAATAAGACAGCATGATTTTAATTATTATTACCTTTATTGTTTCTTACATTTATTTTTAAGATCAGTTTCTAATTTTGCTACTATGTTGCCTAGGGAATATTTAAATGATACTTAGCTCAATCAAAAAAGAAAGTGAAAATGATCCTTATGGGGAATCCTATTGCAGCATCAAAACCTTCCAAATGCAAAAGTCAATTGATTTTGCCCAATCAAGGGGGAAAAAATCAAACATTTGCCCTTGAATTGTTGATACTGAGCAGTACAGAATTGTATGCAGCCAGCTAATGGGGCCTTTCATCACACCCATAAGCAGCACCTTTGATTTCCCAATTTTGCCCTTGTAAAATGAGCCCATAAGGAGTGATCTCAGAAGGTTGGGGTTAGGGTTCCTCAGGTTCCTCCCTCCACAAATTAATTTATCTTTGCACTGGAACCAAATTCAAGCATACATGCCTGAAAACTTCCTCTAATGATGATGTTACCTAGTTTGGTAATTGGTAATAGCGAAGTTTGGAGAGCGCCAAGGACCCCCAGTTCAGCCCTAAGCTACGGAGATTCTCTTCTGTCTTCCTCTAAGGCAGACCTTCTTCTGTGGGAACCGGTGTCCCTGAACAGAACTCCCCCCCCCGAAAAGTGTCCTTTCAGAGCCCCGCTGGCACCGAGAACCCAGCAAAACTGAAGATTGCCATGGAATTTTGCCTCCAGCCCCCCTTCTTTGCCAGCAACGAGCGATGGGGGGGGGGGAGATGCTTTTGGGGAGGGACTCCCTTCTGCGGGCGGAGGAGGAAGATGGGCTGAGCACCCAGGCAGCCCCCCCCCCCCTGCGCTGCCGCTCTTCTGCCGAGCGCAGCCGGGGCGGCTCGGGGACCGATCGGCGCAGGGGCGCAGTCTGGGACCTCTGCAGCGCGCTGGAGAGCCGCCTGGCGGCGGTCTAGTTCGGGAGCGAAGCCGTCGGGGGACTCCACTCTCCGGCTGCGTGCTTTCTCCCCGCGCTCCTTGGCGAACGTTCCGCGGGGCAGACGCCCCACTGCCGCCCTACCGACTCCGCTGTCCCGGGGCCCAGACCGCGAGGCCCCGCGGGATTCCCAGGCCCCCCGTCCCCGTCCCCGCTGGAGCGTCAGGCGCAACGGCCTCGCGAGCGGCGCTACGGCCGTCCCGGCGAAGGACTTACCTGGGCCGACGGCTGTGGCAGCGCTCCCTCCGATGGC